ATTTTCTTTAAAACTACAAGCAAGTCCTTCACATAACCACTAATGCTAGAATGTGCACAGTGCACATTGATATGTGAGATAGCCACATAAATATTAACAAATAAATTATATTTCTCCTTATTTAAATGATTTTATATAATTTTGGTAAGTTTTTCTCTGCAATGTCAATATCTAGACGGTCTTCTTGACAATGTGGAGAAAAACTTACCATAATTGTATAAAATCATTCAAATAAGGAGTGAAATAATTTATTTACTAATACTTATGTGGTTACATCTCATGCCACATGTGCACCGTGCATATTGTAGCATTGGAGATGCTCTAAGATGTTCTTAATAGATGACTTTGTTAGAGTGCGAGGACTGTCATTCACTTGACACCTACTAAAAACTACGAGAAAGGCTGTTATTCTTATCGTGTTAACATTTCAATATAGAACTCCAAATTTTAATATGGCATGAGAGCCAATTAAGCTCCAATGAGCAATTAGAGTCCGATTTAACAACGAGCAAATGAACAGTAAAATTAATTCATCTTATACCCATTTTGTATGCAAAGACAAACTAATATGTAAAGGTTTGAACTACTCCCTTTATAAGATTGACCTTTTAGAAATTCAAAGTGTTAATATTTTATACTATGTCGACCTGGTAATATAACAAGTGACCATCATACTTTGTTTTATTTTCTATCATAATTTATGATAGAGTATATAGGCATAGACTTACGACCCACATAAATATGGACGCACATAGTTAGCAATTGGCCCAAATAGTAAAGTAGGCTTCACCTCGGCTAGGCCTCTCAGTTGGCCGAGGGACCATCACTCAAGCATCTCGAGGATACATACTGGACTTTGGAATTGAGCCGAGCCGACCCCTATCCCCTAACGTCTCAGCCTCAAGCACCGTGTCCCCACCCACGGAGTTGACCAAACAACAAAGCAGGCATAATGGTGCAAGCTTTCATATGTATGGAGTTATCATACATTGTAGGCTTTACTCATATATCGGCTACGTGTGTGCATTTGATGCCCCCTAACTAGCATTTATGGTTAGTATAAATTGCTCACATTGGGCAGTTGTAACGGTTCGAACGTTCATTAATACCGTATATATTCCTCTCTCTACTCTTTAGCTTTGTCTTCTTTCTAGATATCACTAGCGGTATCTCGATATAGTTATCATTTCATGCTTTCTTTGAGAGGTAGAACTATCAAGTTAGGCTTTGTTTGCAAACACTACTCATAAGTGCTTTTTTATTTCTTAAAGTGATTTTGGAAAAAATGTTTAAAAGTAAAAGTTAGTAGTATTTGAGGAAAAATTTGATTTTGAAAAGTTAAAGTTGATAGTGTTTGATAAAATAAGTGTTTTTTGTGTAATAGAAAAGGTAAAAAGCAGATTCTAGATTTTGGTTTTTAACTATTAATTTAAGTAGAAGTTGTCACTTTAAGATACTTTTTTTTAGCTTTTTTTAGCCAAAAGATGAGAAGTGTTTTGCATTTGCACTTAGGGAGTGTTTGCAACTGCTTCTGCTTAAAAAAAGCACTTTTAGAGATGTAAGAAAAAAATGATTAGTAGTAAAAGTTGATAGTGTTTGAGAAAAAAGTGATTTTGAAAAGTAAAAGTTGGTAGCATTTGGTAAAATAAGTGCTTTTTGTGTAATAGAAAAGGGAAAAGCACTTTTCACACGCAAGCCTAGAAAAAGTAAAAATTGGTAGTGTTTAGTAAATAAGTGCTTTTTAAAGTCAAAAGTTGAGAAGTGCTTTTTTTAAGCAGTTGCAAACACTCTTAGGGAGTGTTTTTGTTTGCTAAAAAAAAGCACTTTAGAGCTTTTAGATTAAAAAAAGCAATTTTGAGTGTTTGATAACCCAAATTTGACTTAAAAAAAGTACTTTAAAGCCATAATCTGGAAGCTACCCCAGCCCAGTTTTTAATACGGAAATTGTCCTAAATAGGACTAAAAAGTTCCTAAAAAGCACAAATAGGACTACTATTTTTAAAATTCCCTAAATAGGACTAAACATTGATTTTCTACCCTAAATACCCCTAAGAGTATTAATTCATAATGAAATGCTTTAATTCATAATAAAATCACAAAAAACGTAAAAAAATATTTAAAAAACGTTAAAAAATTAAAAAAAATTATAAAACATTTATAAAATAAAAAAATTTATTTTTTATTTTTTTTAATTTTTTTAAAAAAATAATAAAAAATAGTAAAAACCCATAAAAATGAAAAAAATTATGGATACCTTTCTCACCGCCTCCCGCCGCCTCCCAGCACCACCACCTCCGATTGGTGAAATTTCTTCCACATTTGGTAAAAAAATGTCATATTTTTCTGAAAATGCCAAAAAGATGGCATAATTACTCTTCAATATGCCAACATTTTCATTGATTATGCCATCATTATGGCATTATTTAAAATGTTGGCATATTTTTGTCCGGTGATGGGAGATGGTGGTGTTGGGGGTGGCAAGGGTGGTAATGTGTTTTTTTTAATTTTATGATTCTTTTTTATTTATTTATTTTTTTTTTGAAAAAAAATATTTTTTTTTTATTTTTTTAAAAAAATATTTTTATTAATTTTCTATTATTTTTTTTTTACAATTTTTAGTATTTTTTTCGATTTTTATTAATTTTTTTATGATTTTATTATTAATTAAAACATTTCACAAGTTACAAGGGTATATTTGTCCAAACACACATAAATAGTCCTATTAAGGGAATTTAAAAAATGTAGTCCTATTTGTGCAATTTTTCCACTTTTTAGTCCTATTTAGAGAATTCACTCTTTTTAATAGCTTCTAGGTAAAGTTGTAAATACTTCCAACTTTAAGGCTAATGATAATGGCAAATAAATCCCCTAACCCCCAAATTACCCCTGAAATAATTACTTTCATCTACCCAGCCATGCTCGTTCATCTACTCCTTCCATCCCCTCTCTCCCATGTCGGCGCCATTTCTACGCCAGTTTTTCTTCAATAGCGAAACTAGAGTACTCACTATTCCACTAACTCTATACTACAGATTATACGATGGCAATACGATATGTATTTTTAAAATAAAAAATTAGTTTAGCAGTTTAGGGATTTGGGATGTAGAGGAACAGTTTAGGGATTTGGGAACGAAGAACCGGAGATAGCGAAAGCTCCAATAAACAAAATCGACAAAATCAGACCTGTAGAGGAAGAGATTATTACCTGATTGGAAAAGGAAGGTAAAAAAAATGGGAACGAAGACCCTTCGCTGGAGACCTGGAATGCCGGCAAGCTCGAACGACCTAATGGGGGATTTTGATTAAAGGGTATTTTTGTACTTTTACAAAAACTACTCCATCATAATCACTTTTTTTATCAAACACTCCAACTTTTACATTTTAATCAAAATCACTTCTATTCCCAAACACTACCAACTTTTACTACAAATCACTTTTCCAATAATCTCTTAAAAAAATCACTTTTAAAAAGCACAAGCAATCGCAAACACTCCCTTAGTACCCTTGTCGTAGCTAACACCTCGGATCGAATGGGAAAATCAGAAGCCCTAAGCAAGGAAACACCAAGGCACCTGCTCCTCGTCCTCCTCAAGAAAAGTCAATTGAATGACTTCGATTTATGCGAAATGCTCTTGATGCTTTGCTCAAACTCGAGGCAAGAATGAAGGAAATGAGTTAGCCTGCTCTCGTTGCTCAGCAAACACTTCCTACTCACGTCATCGACGTCCATAAAACGCTATTGGGATTGGGATGTTTTTACTTGGGATGTAATTTGCTGGTTTGATCTGGTCTGGTCTGATTTCTTTGTACTTTTATAATTATCCAAATCTGATCTGATCTGAGACAAATTACAGTCCAACTAAAAACCTCATTTGTCATACTCACCAACCTCAATTGTAGTGACTACTAACTAACATGTGCTAGGCATTTCCATCACGTGCTATGGCCCATAATATTTTATAGTAATTGAGATTTGTCTCATTTTACTTTTTTGGTTCAGTCCACTAAGATTATTTCATACCAAATTTGGTAAATTTTATGTGCTTTAAATCATTTATTTTTTATTCTTACTTTTTTAATTCAATATCAATATACTTCCTCTGTTCGGTAATAAGTGCAACACGCACTCAGGCACGAAAATTAAGACACCGAGTAAAGGTTTGGAACATCACTATTTTACCCTTTGAAATTAAGAAAAGCGGAAGAGGCAGCCACAAAAGAAAAGTGCTACAGTAACCAACAGTTTAAAGAAAACAGTGCGCCCTGGTCTGCTTTCACCTTCGCCCCTAGCCAGCTGCTCATTGGAAGACCTCTCTTGAATCTCGCCTAAACTCCGATAAGCGGCTCCTTCTCAACCCGGCGTGAAGCCAACTCAACAAACCCCCTCGTTTGCTTCCGCCAATCGTCATCCACTCATCCCACATGAAGATCTGGCCGCCGCAGCAGCCGGCCGCCGCCTAGAGGCAACTATTGTTAGGTTCAAGAAAAATTTACAGTGTCTCTTAGGTTGTGGACTCGTGGGGGAGTAACATCAACAAAATTGGTTTCATGTCCGCATATTTCTTCCATTTCTTTCATTTCGGTCGTAATTAAAATCCAAATCAAAGAAAAGAGAAAAAAAAAACGAGGGAGATGATGGGGGAATGGAAGAAACAAAGAAATAGCCGAGTTAATCACAGATGAAGACATTCATGAATGGAAGAAGAAGAACAGAAGATGGTGTAATTGGTGGGTAGGTGGTATTGGGTGGTGAGTAAATAAATTAAAGAAAATTTCTGAAAACAGAAGAGATAGGCCGTAAATAATGAGGGGCATAGAAGTCCTTTTGTTTAGTATTCCTTTCCCAAAATAGAAACGTTGCATTTATTTTGAAACTGCCGAAAAAGGAAAGTGTTGCATTTATTTAAGAACGGAGGAAGTATCACATAAACCACTTTTTATTGATTTGACTGACCACAAATCTACAACTAAAGTCCTGTATTCAAATTAATTGGGCCGGTATAGTTAATCGGCCCAACTTCCCAGTCCAGATTCTGCCGCTGGTCGAGAAATCCCAACCGCTCCGGTCAACAATCACGTTCTCACCTACTCAAAGAACCCCAATACGAATTTGTTGCTCCTTTCCCAATTACGTCAAAACCAACGACCAAAGTACCAACACCACCCATCGCATCGTCGGAAACATGGCGGCGTCAACGGTGTCGCTGGAGGATGTCCCAAGTGAAACCATCATGTCGGAGCTCCTCCGCCGTCTCAAGTGCTCCACCAAGCCTGACAAGCGCCTCATTCTCATAGGTATTTTCCACATTTCTGTTTTTCTCCTTAAAGTGGAAATTCTGCAGCATCTTTTCCATATATTTTCATGGTTGGGTACTTGTGTCTGTGTTCGGTCTTGAATCTAGAGATTTCGTAGTCAATGCAGCGCCATATTGGATGAATCTAGCTACAGAGTTGAGCTTTTTAGTGGCTGCGATGTAATTGTATTGATAGCTTGATTTGCTTCGTAGCATCACTGGAATTGTGAAGTTAGCTTTTCTTTTCATCATTTCTTCTCCTAATTCACTGTGATTTCAGTTATGATTGGTTAAAGGAACGGTTGAACTTAATTCTGGATATTTTCAACTTCTTTAGTTTTTGGATTACAGTAATCATGGGCAGATCTAAAGATTTGTGTAGGGATGTGATGTATAGTGATTAGACTAGGCTCAATGAAATATTGAGATTAGCTAATTAGGGAAAATTAATTTCCCCTGGGCTTCTGCCCTTGGTAGATCCGCCTATTCCAGCCCTGTGTAGATCCGTCCTTGGTAAAAGAAACCTATATCTTGTTAAAGTTGGGTTCTTTTTTGTTGGATATTTAGTTGTCTTGGAATTTAAGATGGATAAATACATCAGTAAGTCGTGCTGTTAGAGCACAACTGGTGTGAAGTGTGAGTCAATGCTTGAATGAGTTGAATCTCTTCTCTTTCTCCTAGTTTAACTTATACCCCCAGTTTGCGTTTTACATTCTGTGTCTTATATACTCTCTCATTATCTGCACCTATGTTAGACATCAATGTGAAACTTGGTACAATTTTGTATGTAAAATAGTCTATTGAATGTATGTTAGGCCCACCTGGATCTGGAAAAGGTACTCAGTCACCCATCATTAAGGATGAGTACTGTTTATGCCATTTGGCCACCGGTGACATGCTTAGAGCTGCTGTTGCTGCTAAAACTCCTCTTGGAATCAAGGCCAAGGAAGCCATGGACAAGGTTAGCATTGATACTTTTTGCTGAAAGTGCAAAAGAATCCGTTTCGCCATAATTGGTTGCTCACTTGCTCATATTCAAATCTTTTTTTACTTTTAGGGTGAACTGGTTTCTGATGACTTAGTTATTGGGATCATTGATGAAGCAATGAAGAAACCCTCTTGCCAAAAAGGGTTCATTCTTGATGGGTTTCCCAGGACAGTGGTTCAAGCAGAAAAGGTAGTTGCTGATACACTCACACACATATATGCATGTATATGCATATATGTGTGTGCTTTTATCTGAGTGAGAGACTATTATGTGCCTTATTGGGTTGTAAAACATCAATCTTCCATTGTTTCTGTTTCCTCTGATGTTTTCATTTTTATCGGATGCAGCTAGATGGAATGCTTCAGAAGCAGGGTGCCAAAGTGGACAAAGTATTGAATTTTGCAATTGATGATGCTATTCTGGAAGAGAGGATTACTGGTCGATGGATTCACCCTTCAAGTGGAAGAACTTACCACACAAAGTTTGCGCCACCTAAAGTTCCTGGAGTTGATGATGTAAGTTCCATTTGATATTTTGATGGATTTTATTTCTTCTACTTTCATCCTGTTCTTTGGGGACATAGGGGTTCTGGGCTAGATGGTGTTGGACGGTTGGATTCAAATATCAAAGTAACATTGGTAATAATTAGCAAATTTTGAGTAAATTGTATTGTATCATGATTAGTGAACTGCTCCTTATAGATGGAGTTCTTCTCCATCGGATGTGTATGGCATAATGATACCAAATGAGTTCTTCAACTGATCAATGAGCTAATTTTTGTTATAAGTTGGTACTTACTAAAGCCCTGAAGCATGAAGGGCATGCTTGCATGAGGTGGAACTTGTGCATTTGGACGTCCTTCTTTGAATTCTTGTTTTAGAAGCTCATACATTTATTTTTCCCAATTTCCCAAAGGAAGTGACCAAATTCATTGCATCATAGAAGCTCGTGGTGCATTTCTAAATTCTATGGATTGAGTTTAATATATTAAAGAAAATTAGTAGTCATGTTTTAAATACATGTTTGGATTACCCTTATGACCATTGATATAAAATTGCGCATTAATATTTTTTTTGTATCCCATTGGTAGTGCTCCGTATTGGCTGTTGAGCTAATTGATTGATGATGTTCATGTAGGTCACTGGAGAACCTCTAATTCAACGCAAAGATGATACTGCTGCTGTTCTCAAGTCCAGGCTTGAGGCTTTTCACCGCCAAACAGAACCGGTGAGAAACTAAGAACTACAATATGTCCGCTAAACAGAACCAGTGAATGTTTTTCAGTAATATACTTCTATATTACTGTTGTATAATCCCAACTACTAAATGACATAATTCTGCCGAACATAGTTCTATATAATCTATATTACTGTTGCATAACTCTACTATAATTCTATAACATGAAACTAAATGTCATAACATCTTCATAATTGAAGAACTGTTTATTTTCATTTGAGTGGTGTCCATCTGACCCCCCATTTCAACTTAATCCTAGACTCCCTTTTAGACTTGTTTTTCATGCTTAAAATGTCTTGTTTTGGAAGCATAATTAGATACAGGATTTTGATAACAACAAATATAATTAAGTTGATTATCAGTCATACACTGTTGGTTAGTCTTCTGGAAGTGTCATAAGGTATGTCCTGGTACTAATGCTCAGGAGTTCTGTTTTCATGTAATGTATTACTCCCTTGGTCGCAGTAAGTTTGGCACAAGAGAGATAAAGTGTGTGGTGCATAAATCAAGCAAAGTTGCAAAAGTGGATTTGTGTGTTTGGTATTGAATTTGCCAAGTATGAAAGGTTTTGAGCCACACAACTATGTTCAAATATGGTATGGTATAAACATTTTGGGATGGATAAAATAAAAAATGGGGCAAACATTGTGGGATGGAGGGAGTACGTTAGCACTAAGTTGCTATGGCCTATGAGTTTGAGCAAGATCTTAACCTCTTTCACACGTGTTTTGCCATTCATAGATTACTAGAAACAATGTTTCAGTATCAGTCAGCACCTTAATCCCAATGCCTTGGGTCTGTGGCTGAAATTTATAATGTTATTTAGTTGTGTGAGATTTGTTAATTAGTACGAAGTATATAAATGGTTGTAAAAGGAATAATGAGACAGTTCCAAAACCATCTCATCAAAGTATAATTTTTCTCACTCGATCCTTTTCTAAACAATCCCATATCACTCATTTGTAACAACTTTATTTAGTCACATACTCACAGTCCATCTGTGTGTTCGATTGTCTTGTAATCAATCTTTAGCTGTTTATATAAAATGTTATTTCTGTGGACTGCAGGTTATAGATTATTATTCAAAGAAGGGCGTTGTTGCTAGCTTACATGCTGAAAAACAACCAAAGGATGTTACAGAAGAAGTTCAGAAAGTTTTATCCTCCTAGAGAAGAAGCTCATAACAAAATTGGCCTTCTGAATTGAACTGTACTATCTGCTTGTTGTTTGTCTCTGACCGATGATCATTGGAAGGACAGTGTCTATCTTTTTTTAGTTCTTTTTGTTGTTTATCCCAGCATATCGTCAACTTCTGATGAGTTAGCACCAGAGTAGGAATTTTTGCTAATAAATTTATGAACACCTCTGAATATCTCACTATCACCAGATACAATGGTTATTTATCTGATTTGAAAGATGTAACTTGATGGACTGGCCAAAATTTGTGCTCCATCTTCTGCCCAATGTTATTCTATGAGCAATCTATAGTTACAAACGTGTGATTATAGTTAGTGTTGTGGACTTGTGGGCTTCGATCTTTCAAAATATAACTTTTTTGAATTTTATTAAATAAATTGTAGTGAATGTAGACTGTAGAGTATGTGAAATTGTGAATGTTATAAAATTCCATATGTTGCAATTATATAAGAATGTGGCCATTGAGGTAGTATTTGATTACAACATGTTGTGTCCAGTTTGAGTCATAAATTGAATATCCTTGATCTGGACTGCTTTAAAAAAAAATTAAAATGAATCCTTGGATAAAGTAAACCAAATGAAAAGTATAATCATATTTTGTAAAATATGTGACAATTTTTAGCCACGTCTGATACATATATGATTAATTAATAGTTCTACTTTGGTACATGGTATAAGAACCATTGAATATCTTTTTGCTTTGATTTTTGAAAAACACTTCAGTGAATGTGATAACATGGTTGTTTACATTTTCCATTTGTGAAAATTAAATCACCTGGTGTATCTTATCATGTACAAATGATTATTTTTTTACAACAAAACGTAAAATGAGTAAATTGTTATGAATATATTATATTCTATGTTCTTATAAAATCTCAAATGATAAGTTGGTCTAGGATTTAGATGATGTTTTATGTGGACTATGAAACAAGAGTACATAGGTGATCAAAGAAAGTATGATGTTCAATTAGGAAATATGCACACTTAGTTGAGGTTAGTGTTTCAAAATAGAACATATATTGAATGAAATGTATAAACGCATTGAAAAACATTTGCTCGAAACTTGTAATTTCAAAACTGAGGTTATTCTTAGGATGTAGGGAGTGAATCCAGAACAATTGTTTAAGTTTTGAAATGATTGTAATAGATGGAAAATGGAATAACTCACAAACACAAGCATACGGTAGACAATGAGCTATAAACAAGAATTGTTGCTACTAAACATAAGATTGGTCATTCTTATAATGCTCTTAGTTGACATTTACCGCGTATATTTAATACCCTTTGGTTGTATTTGTAGTAATTGCCTTTAGAAAGTTTCCTCCAAGATTATCTTACTACATGTGTTACCCATTGGATCAATCAATGTGTAAAACTGACTATATAATCATGATTATGCTATTTCCCTATCACTTTTCATAAGGCATCTTTTGAGCAAATTCTTACTAACAAGTGTCCTTGAAAAGTTGTCCATGAAAGAAACATTGTTGCCCCTAAGATTGAAACAAAGGAGAGTGGTGTAAGTGTGTAACACTACAACTTTTAAGAAAAATAGAGTTGTGGGCTTAGATTATACGTGGTAGTTCCTTTTCTGTATTGTGTTGGGCATAATACATTAGTTGTGTGGATCGACATTCTGTTGTGGTTGGATTTGGAAGGTTATCTCTTTGATTCCATGCACTCTTGAAATTTGACGGTGGCAGTGAGCTGAAGAACGGTTAGGGTAAAAATGAAATTGGCCCCGCGAGAAATTGAGAAGTTGATGCTCCACAATGCAGGACATCTCGCACAGAAACGTCTTGCTCGCGGCCTACCCCTCAATTACACTGAAGCTGTTGCGCTTATTGCCACTCAGGTTTTCAATTTCATCCCCTTTTGATGATGTTTTTCAATTTCGTTTAATTTTACTGTGCAAAAACTTGCTTACAGTTTACACTTTACAGAGGAGTGGGGACTTAGACAAGTACCAACATTTGGACCTTAGATAATCTAACCCAAGTAGCAACTACTTGAAAACTATTAATTTTCAAGGGAAAACAGTTGACAATTTTCAAGGGACTGAACTTGCAGCCTCCTTCTTAAGCTTCCATGGTGAAGACAATTATATTAGTTTCCAGAAAGAGATGGAGATACACTCTTTGCTTCGTAGCCGGGATGAAGAGCTTCATCTCCACTATGAGACATCTCTTCATCCCAAGGTATACATTAGTCTCTCTCTGTCTACTGGCCGAGATGAAGGCCTCTCCAGCATGGAGGGATTTTTCTTTTCATTTTTAAAATATTAACTATTTCTGTAATGATCAGTTTATCACTTATGTGTGTTGTTTAATGACTCATATGTTGAAAAGCATTGTTTTTTCATGCGCATAGCGAGGGGCCAACTTCGGCCCTGCCTACCCCAAAATCTGTAAAAAAATCTTTTTTATGCATAATATTTTCATCCTTAAAGTTTAAATAAAATGAGTGCTTTTCCAGTCCATTTTCAAATTGGAAAAGTTCAGATCCCTGTGAAGCGGTATGCCACTGAATAAAATTAGTATTACACTATTACTCCATGGTATTCTTTGAAGAAGTATTATTTTTAACACGAATTGACATTCTTCATTTAATTTATTTAAGTAAAAAATGTTAAAGACTATGAATGAGAACGCAAATATTATTTTTTTTGTGAAAGGATGTTGCTTTTTTATATTGCTTTTATGCTGAGAACCATTACTTTCACGTAAAAAAACATTTTGTGGTATCTGACTAAAAAGAATTTCAATATGTTTTTTTGGACGTGTGGAGTACTAGTTTTATTTGAAATTTTATAATTTCACTATATTACTTTTTGTTCCAAAAGTGTTACTATTGTCCGAAAAAGTATTACATCTATATCGAAAACTATTAATTTTAACCCAAATATAGTATGCTGTACTTTTGAAGGAAAAACTCTCACTTTCTGACTATTTTAAAGCATATCAGATTTGGGCATCCATCATGGACTGAAATATGTGAAACTGTTACACGCAAGTTGCAAGACTACCCCTTTTATTTATTTACTTATTGTTTACTCAATAAGTATGTGCAGTGGCAATTATAGGAAGGAAATGTCTGTTTGTACATGCTGATGCTACACGTTTTTGTACACGCCCCCCTATTTGTTTGTGTGCACAAGCAATTCGTAAAAAAGTCGCATTTTTTAAAGAAAAATGTCGGTATGGCATGTAAAAACGGCGTGTACACGCCCAGGTGTGTACACGAAGCATGGCTCTTATAGGAAAGGGGCTGCTTGACAGCCATTCTGGGAATATGCAATTACCTTGCTTCTTATCCCACCATTCCCATACCCCATACTAAAATACAAAAGTTAGGAATTTAATTTCATTAGTATCGCCGTGCTATGATGTATATGAATGAATTGGTGCTTTATGTTGCTTCGTATGATACTGCATTGATTGCATAACTCCTATTTGTTTTTATTAGGTTTTGGAGTTTGTTCGTGATGGAAATAGGAGTGTGGCAGAGTTGATGGACCTTGGAAGACAATTGCTTGGCAGGTTACTGTTAGCAAGTTCTCATATTGTCTTTTAGTTGATATTATAAAGTACTTATTATTTAAAATATAAAGATCAGTTAGAATTATTTTAGTAGTATCCATATTTGTGGTTGTAACTATACTGTGCACAATACAATAACATTTTTACCCCGAAACAATGGAAGAAGCTAAGACTATAAGCACCAAAGATGTATTCTCCATAAATATGATTTTTTTTAATGACTTTAATATCATAATTATAAGTTTGGATTTATTGTGTGTACAATAAACATTTTACACCAGAATAGTATAAAAAGAGTTATAAGGACAGATATATTCTCCATAAGTATCATTTTATTTCATTTCAGCATCATAAGTTTAGATTGTTTTTAGCACTATCCATATCTATTGCTGTAATTATATTGTGTGTGCATGTTTTAACTGAAGGGGAGCCTCGGTGCGCCGGTTAAGATGTTGGTGTGTGACCGAAAGGTCACGGGTTCAAGTCTTGGGAGCAACCTCTTGTCGATATTCGACAGGGGAAGGTTTGCCCAATTGCCCCTTTTACACCCTTGTGGTGGGAATCTTCTCCGGACCATCGCCATGCAGGGATGACTTCGTGTACCTGGCTGCCCTTTTTTATATGCATGTTTTAACTAATCTAGGGGGCAGGGTGGGGTGTAAACCTTCTATGTATATGTGGGTTTCTCCAAACCTATGACTGCCCCGAAGTATACCCTAGTTCTGCTACTAGCTACATCTTTGTCATTGATAGGTCATAGGTGCTTTTTAATAGTGCATACTGCATATGTGCATCTAGTCTAGTCTACTATAGTAATATAATAAGAGTGGAAATTTTCTTCTTTGTTGTTATCAGGAGACAAGTTCTCCCCCCTGTTCGGCACCTTTTGCACACTGTTCAGGTACTGCAATTTTTGGATGTTGGTATCCAGTGCAATTTCCAATTTCTTGTGATTGCCAGTTAAGAGTCCAGGTGAATCGTTATGTATTGTCATTTAGGTTGAGGGGACCTTTCCTGATGGGACCAAATTAATCACCATCCATGATCCCATCGTTCACGAGGATGGGGACTTGGAGTTAGCACTACATGGTTCATTTCTTCCAGGTAATTATATCACAAATCTTTTGACCACATGTCTCATTTTAATAAAAAATGATGAGTAATTTGAGATATGTCCTGATCAATAGGGCATGCATGATTATAAGCTAAAATAACATATTTGACAGTAGAGTTTATTTATTTTCCTAATTATGTGATGTTTGCAGTTCCACCTATTGAGAAGTTTCCTACAGTAGAAGATGGCAGAATTCCTGGTGAACAATATTTTGGGGGTGGGCTTATAACATTGAATCAAGGAAGTAGAACAATCAATCTTAAGGTTACTAACATGGGTGATAGACCAATTCAGGTGCTCCGCATGTACATACAATTCTGCTTCTTAAATCTTGTATACTGTAATCTCATGAGCATATCTCACTTGAAATTGTCGATTTAACAATTCTTATTGAACATATAATTAATATTGTACCCTTGAATCTTAACGGAAATTTATGATAAATAATTAAATTATCCCCCATCTTCCCAATTTACATATCTTATTTGCTTTGAATTTTATTAATGCTACCACTAAATTATACATTTTATACTCTGATTGAATTTTTTGGTTATTACTTAATAAATTAAATCAATTTAAAGCTAAAAAATCATTCCCATATTGTGAAGCAAATATCTGACTATCACCAATAAAGAACATGTCTCTTATGCTCCAGCTATTTAATTTTATGTCTTTAGCTTTTTTCTTTTGAACCTTCATTTTCTTCTGCTGCAATATGGCATTCACTTTTACATTCACATGATTGGTTTAATGGAGAACGTTAACAGTCTTTATTAATAAAAAATGCATAACAGTTGACATGCCTCTCTTAGCAAAAAAAAACTACTCTCTTTAATATTCAGGTAGGCAGCCACTATCACTTCATCGAGGTGAACCCGTACCTGATGTTTGATCGACAGAAAGCATATGGCATGAGGTTAAATGTACCTGCAGGGACAGCAATAAGATTTGAGGTGACCATTTTTACCCTTTTGTGTTTGAAATTAAATAATGATGTTATATTCTCAGATTGTTTAGTTTTCCGCAATAAGAAATGACCAAGTAACCAACATTTCTTGTTGATAATTTTTCAATATTCTCACAAATTATCTGATGTGCTGATAGAGACTCCAAAAATTGACTGTAAATTCAGTGTATTATTATTGCAGAACTTCTGAGAATTACAATGGCAGAAAACAAAGAGAAAAGTAATGGGACTGGTTCGAGAGCGTCCCCCTCTCCCGAGCAAATACCCAATTTCTGCCTAACCTTTTATTCTACTCCCAAATCCTATTTATAATATTTTCCTTATGGGCCGGCCCAAAGCTAACTAGTACCCGGCCCAAAGCTAACTAGTACCCGGCCCAGAGCTAACTATACCAATTATTTAATGAAATAATTATATAAATATGACCAAAATAAAGGTGGTTTACAAAAATATGATTAGTTACTAGAGTAGTAATGAAATCATAGTAATTCATGTTCAAGTTTTGAACTTAAGTTACCACAACACTACATTGTAGTAATGAATAGTCATATTTATGTAAATAAGTTTTATTTTGGTAATATTCTTGTAAAAAACCCTTATTTAATATAATTCTATCATTATTATTATTAATATATAATCTACCCGGTTCCTATCATATCTCCCTTAGACAACCACATTGTCCTCAAGGTGGGTGATAGGAAACAACCTTGACCTTCAGCTTCATCTTCATCCTTGCGCCTCTACCTTCCCAGTATCTCCCTGATTTCGGGATCCTGAGCTACATGAATTGAACCCTTGTCATCACTTTTTCCACAACAAGAAGGAGCAGAGGCAAGGGTATGGTTACATAATGCTTCACTAAAACATGGCCAGCACCAATTGTAGCAATCCATACAGAGTCATTCTCCTCGGCCAGACCATCTATAATTGCAGAAAGAATGGATGATGTTTTTTAAGCAGACAATTTCGTATGATATCCGGAACAGCTTCCAATATAGGATAGATTCTTCCTGAATGAATAGCAACCACAACCATACCCCTCATTCTATTTCTACAAACTGATATGTGGGCCAGGTGGATCTGCTCTATACCATCAATATCTATAGCATCAGTATCTATAGCCTCCAATTTTTTTCCAAGGAGAAAACCATTCCTCTTGTTAGCTTCAAACAATTCAGCATTAAGCCAAGTATTTTTCTTTAGATATTCCACAACAGAAACAAAGGAATGAATTCCTCTCCAATCAATGTACAGCTGTTCAGGAGTCAGGACTATGGTCTACTGTATCAAGGGAAAAAGGCAAATGCATATATGATTTCTCCCAAAGAGATTCCTCCATGATAAATATGGACTTCCTTTCACTGATGCACACGTAAACAGTTTTCCAAACAGACATTAGAGAAAAATTCTTGAAACTTCTTTGCTTCCCTGACTGGATCTGTATCCAACTTTATTAGACCATTTTATAAGTTTGAAAATTTCCTTTAGCTTCCAGTCCATTAACAATTTCTGATTTTAAAGATAAATCCATGAGTTGCTCTCTCTTGGAGACCTTACTGACAGCAGCCTGAATATTAGGGTCCAGATCCACACTGATTCTACACAACTGGTATTCTGCAATAGGTCCAAAAACATCACCGTGATTCTTAAAATTGATAACAGCACCCAACTTCTTTTTTGCCTGAATTTTTCTTTCAACAATGCTACCAAGAGCAAATTCATCATCCCATCTCAGTCTGAAATCAGAGGAGTCCCAATTTGCAGAAAGTACCAATTTGCAGAAAGTACTAATTTGCAGCCCATTACTGCCATCCCTGACTTGATCTCTGAGTGATTGAAAATTGATCCTTCATCCATCAGTCTGGTCCTGATTTTCAGCATAAACAACGCACTTCTCCATCCATCTCTTATTAGTAAGTGTGTGAACACTGTCACCCAATGCCCCATCCTCATCTCTATTCCTGAGTATCTGGAGCCGTTGATCAGCAATTGCCATATGAAAACTGTAGTCAAAACCTACACCTCCATCTTGAACAGGTATACAAACTAACTGGCATTCTCCTTACATTTTCACCACTGATTAAGGCATCTCGGAGAATAGCAGGATTGAGTTCATTGTCAAGCATCAGAAACCTCCAAACATCATAGATACGCATTCATGTGTGAGACCAGCCCTCCTCAACAGCCCTAGCCCCTGGTGGATAGTCTGTAGGTTGAGTAAGATCATCGTTCGGATCCAATTCAGTGATTGATGGTTCAGCAGGCTTCAATTCAGTGTTTATTGTCGGCTCTGAAACTTGCGCAGGGTGATAAGCGACTGGCGACCCGGTGTGAGAAGGCGAACTAGGCACCTGCGACCCTGTAGAAACCGCTCGCGATGACGATCGGTGAAGAATGGCTATCGAAGGCGAACTGGGAGACACTGTTCGCAGCAAATCTGGCAAACAGGAAGAAGCTGCTGGCGATGATGATAGGTGAGGAGAAACAGTTCGCAACGAACTGGGAAACGTGGTTCATCCAGCCTCTTGTCCAGCATAGTTTTCATCTCCTTCTAATGGCATTCAATATTATCCATACTCTTCTCCAAGTGCGGTGACATATAGAATTCCTCCATCATTCCAGCTCGTTGATGCTCTGGGATGATCAATTCAGACTCCAGAAGCGAGTGCTCTGATACCAATGATAGATACTCCAGAAATTGACTGTAAATTCAGTGTATTATTGCAGAGCTTTTGAGAATTACAATGGCAGAAAATAAACAGAAAAGTAATGGGACTGGTTCGAGAGCGTTCCCCTCTCCCAAGCAACTACCCAATTTCTGCCTAACCTTTTATTCTACTCCCAACTCCTATTTATAATATTTTCCTTATGGGCTGGCCCAAAGCTAACTATACCAAGTATTTAATATAGTTCTATTATTATAATTATATAATCTGCTCGGTTCCTATCATGTGCGTAGAAATTTAAGCACACATTCCTCTTCAACTAAATCGTTAAACAGTGGTGATACATAGTATTATTAATTTGTTATAATTTTATTTTTATCATCAACAAGTGTACATTCTTTTCTCAGATTGTGATTTTTCATACAGTTTTACTGTTGGAATGTCTTCTGATAAACTCCTATAGTTTTGGATTATCAACTGAGAAAGTGCTAATTTGCAAGCCAGGGGACTCAAAAAGTGTTACTCTAGTTAGTATTGGAGGGAAGCGAATAATCAGGGGTGGCAATGGGATTGCTGATGGTCCAGTCGATTATGCCAGAATTGCAGATGTGATGGAAGCTGTTCATGAAAGAGGCTTTCGCCACCTGGAAGAACGAAATGCAAGGTCTAACAACCTGCACATGTTTTTTTTCTTACTGTATTCACCAGGCTATTATGAGTTAATACATGATTTAGTCATTTGACTGTAGACGATTTCTCAATTAGTCATCATGCATATTCATTCCAATCATGAGTGGTATTTCCATACACTGAGGATTTAATTGAGGCCAAATTACATAATTGCGTCCCTAATCAGTAATCACGACTAAATTTAGTGAACAGATAAAAGATAGCCTGCTTATTTAGAAACAGATATGTACGAGGACTAAATTGAGTCCCAATTTAATAGTAGAGGATCAAATTGAGTAATAGTGTATAATCAAGGGACTAAGTCATGTATGAACTTGCTATTAAACATTGCTTGAGTTTTTGCATGTGTAAAGTATAGCTATGGACAAAATATGTATCTCAGCTTTGATTTTTTTTGCAGCGAAGGTATCAGTGGACAAGGACCTGCTTTCTCCTGTACAATGTCTCATGAGGAATATGCTAATATCTATGGACCCACAATTGGAGACAGAGTCCGGCTAGGAGATACAGACTTAATTGCTGAAATTGAAAGTGATTTTTGTCGTTACGGTGAAGAATGTGTCTTTGGAGGCGGAAAAGTGATAAGAGACGGAATGGGACAAGCCTGTGGATATCCGGCAGCTGACTGCTTGGATACTGTTATGACAAATGCTGTAGTTATTGATTATTCGGGAATTTTTAAGGCTGATATTGGAATTAAAGATGGTTTAATAGTTTCCCTTGGTAAAGCGGGAAATCCAGATATCATGGATGATGTATCAAATGACATGATAATTGGGGTGAGTCTGACGAACAAAATTTTGAATATCCTTAAAATGCTATTGTTTTTAAACATTTCCATAATCAGGTAAATACAGAGGTTATTGCGGGTGAAGGGATGATTGTTACTCCAGGAGCAGTAGACTGTCATGTTCACTTCATCTGCCCTCAATTGGCATACGAAGCCATATCTAGTGGTCAGTTTTCATACTACACCTTTGATGTTTTATTAATATGTTAGGAGCAATGCTTAGAATATTATGACTCTGATTCTTATAAGTTTATTGAATACTGAATAGTCATCAATCTGTTACACTTCTCTTTCTCGTGGCATTCAGCTTTCATTGTACGTTTCTTAACATACAATGATAAGCATTACTTCTAATGATTGACCTCTATCATTTAGCCAGAGCCAAATAATGTCAACAGTCAATACCTTTCCAATTGCATATATGTGGGTTAGAGTTAGTATTCCTACATATTACTACCTCTGTCCCACTAACATTGGGACATGAAGGGGTGGCAGGCTTATTAAGAAAAGTGGGTTTATGTGATTGATATTGAATTGATAAAGAATGATTTAGAACCACACAAAATTTACCAAATTTGGTATGGGACAATATTAGTGGGATGGACCAAAAAGGAAAGATGAGACAATCTTAGCGGGACGGAGGGAGTATTAGCAGGAACGTTAGCAACTTCATCTCATTGCTCAGTGTTGTCAATCCCTCTTGCAGAACTCCAATTCATGGATGTATTGTCTGTCCTACCAAAATATTTGCTATTATTTCATGCTATGCCATCTTTAGCTGTATCAATTTGTCTTGCATTATGAGAAATAAGCTGTGTTTAATAGTAAACTATATCCCTTAAATTTTACAGGTATAACTACAATTGTAGGAGGTGGGACAGGACCTGCAGATGGAACTCGTGCCACTACGTGTACACCAGCGCCATTTCATATGAAATTAATGTTGCATTCGACAGATGACCTACCTTTAAACTTGGGTTTCACTGGGAAGGTAATTGCTTATTTTCTCGTATTGTCCATTTTGTTTCACATGGTGTAATTACATGAGAGGGGAACTCATCTATAGGGGAATAGTGCAAAGGATAATGGACTCCATGAAATAGTTGAGGCTGGAGCGATGGGGCTAAAGCTTCATGAGGATTGGGGAACCACTCCTGCTGCAATAGACACTTGTCTGGATGTTGCTGACCAATATGACATTCAGGTAGCTGTTATTTAAAAAAGATTAGAGGAATGCTATGAAACTTTCTATAAAGTGCTCAGACACACTCCATGTTATGGATGGAAAGTATTGATTGAACAACTATATTGGTGGGTCCACTATATTTTTCACCAATTAAAGGAAGAGTGTTTTTGGCACTCTCTCTCAAGGGAGTGTCCATACTCCATAGCATTCCTCTAAAAGAATCGTTGACAAAATAATTTGATTTTGTTCAAGAAAGTGATTAAATTCATTTTGTGTAGGTTAATATACACACTGATACCTTGAATGAATCTGGTTTTGTGGAGCACACCATTTCTGCTTTCAAAGATAGAACCATTCATGCCTACCACAGGTTTGACATGAAACTACAGTGCACCCCTCCAAGAACAAACAAAACCCTACTCCCTACCACTTTGAAGAAAATTTAAATTATTCCTTACCACTTTGATGGAAATTAGAATACTTTTGCTTTTTGCTGGTTTGTTCAATCCGTTTCAGCACAGATTGTATTTTTGAACTTGATACACGTCCATTTTCATATAAAGTCATGAAATATATAGTAAAGGTCCTGGTAGAGAACATGCTCTGATATCATTAAATGTTGTTGCATAAAAATTGTCCACCTGTCATCAAGTAGTCATACATGCCCTTCACTATTATAGTACACTTGGTGTTATGTGGGTGTGTTTCATTTCCTACCACAAGGTTGACTGTTGACACACACACAAATCCCCCTCCCCCCACACACAAATCCTACTCCAGGTGGTAAAAAGTAAAAACCACGAAAAGATATGAAAGAAAACACAGTGTTACTTACAAATTTGAGGAAAAACAGACTACTTCTGCCTTCTTAGGTGTTTTTGTGTCACTGCGTGTTATTATTATAATAATGTGATAAACTTATGCACATAAATATGATATTTATGCAGTGAAGGTGCTGGTGGTGGCCATGCTCCAGATATTATTAAAGTTTGTGGTGTAAAAAATGTCATCCCATCATCAACTAATCCTACACGTCCCTTCACCGTAAATACTGTGGATGAGCATCTTGACATGCTGGTAAGAAAAAGATCAGTGATGGTCTGTGGGGGTATGAACTATCAGAAGATATCCTCAACATAGAAATAATTCATTAATGCATGCAGATGGTCTGCCATCACCTTGATAAGGACATTAAGGAGGACGTAGCTTTTGCTGAGTCACGGATTCGGGCTGAAACCATTGCCGCAGAAGACATTTTGCATGATATGGGAGCAATTAGCATCATATCATCTGATTCACAGGCCATGGGACGGATCGGAGAGGTTCTCACTTTCTTAACTAACCATTTTGCTGCATCCTAAGTATTTCTGATCTGTTATTGTTTCTGTTAGGGAAAATCACACTTTTAGTCCCTGAAATAGTCACCATATTGAAATGTTAGACCTGTATTTCTGAGATTGTAAATGTCACCCCTCAATTGTCCAAATTGTTGTAAATGTGGTCCTTTGAGAGGTGAAATGTATTCCTCGCCCACATTGTAGATTTCACCCCTCAAAGCACTACATTTATAGCAATTTGGACAATTGAGGGTGACATTTGCAAACTCGGAAATACTGGTCTGACACTTCAATATGATGATTATTTCAGGGACTAAAAGTGCGATTTTCCCTTTCTGTTACTTATTCCCTTTTGGGAGTGAAACTACGTTGAAAGATATGTCTTAAACTTGTCATGCTCACAATCAATTAGCATAGTGTTGTCATCTTTCTGCATTATTGCCTGATTGGGCTGTTCTCATTGTGACCCTTTAATGCTCTAACGTGTTGTTGGGGCCCTCAGGGATGGGGTGTAAAAAAAACAGGAAAATGTAGCAAATAAGACCTCGAACTAACCAAAAAAGTGCAAACCACCCCTTATATAGGAGGTTCTGTCCGGCCATCGCCATTTGGGGTGGTTCCCGATGGAATTTTTTGATGAATTTTTTTGAGCATCTGCTTCATTAAGTCTAGTCTACCCATACCAAATTTCAGCTAAAAACTAATCCGGGAAGACAGTCGAATGATTTTCTGAATTTTCTGAAATATACTGCGCTGTTTAACTGCGCAGTTATCTTCAAAAATTCATTTGACTGCCTTCCCGATTGAATTTTTATCTGAAATTTGGTAATGGTAAACTAGACTTAACGAAGAAGATGCTTAAAAAATTTCATCAAAAAATCCACCGGGAACCTCCCCAAATGACGACGGCCGGACAGAGCCTCCTATATAAGGGGTGATTTGCACTTTTTTGGTCAGTTCGAGAGCTTATTTGCCCATTTTCCCAAAAAAATATGATAACTTTTATACTGCCCCATGATTCCAGGAGGCATGACTTATGACTTCACCAGGGAATCAGGGATGGTAAGTGTCAAACATTCAGGACCCACATTTTGGTTGAAAAAACAAAGATGGTAGACCGTCATCTATCAACTGTTTGACACGTGATTGTGGCATGCATTGTAATGCCTCATGTGGCATGTTAAGATTTCGCGTTAGCATTTATATTGATTTCAAGATGATTATATTCCAACCTAACTTTTTGTTGGTTTCTGACATGAAATATATAGTATCACTCATCAAAGTTAGGTAGCACTAATTTGAGGCAAAAACATATAGTTTTACTCTAATGTCTTATTTGCACAACCTAACCTTTTCTTTCCTGGTTTAAATTTAGATAATTTATTTGAATGGGGGACTTATTTAAACAGACTCCTTATTTACCAGGTTATAAGCAGAACATGGCAGACTGCCCACAAAATGAAATTATTTAGAGGCCCACTGGAGAAAACCCAATTAGACAATGACAATCTGAGGATCAGAAGATACATTGCAAAATATACTATAAATCCTGCAATTGCTAATGGTTTCTCCAAGCATGTTGGGTCAGTTGAGGTATGAACATGACCATTATTGAAGGTAGAGCATGATCAACTGCATGATTATCCTGTCTCCCTAAAATACTTGTGGACACTTGAATTTTGTGTGATTATTATGCCTATTATTTGCAGTAATGATGAGAGATTATTACATATTTTTTACTCCACATTCCTAACCTTACATCATACAGAGTTGTTTTCTTATGACAATCTTATATTACTACCTCCTCCCTTTATTATCTCCTCATTTGACTAGGCACAATTTTTAAGAAAATGGGAATTGTACGGTTGAATTTTGTTTAGAAGAGAGGTAAACAACATCAACCATAGAATCTTTTCTGAAAAAAAGAAAAAGGGATAATTTAGGGACATGAAAAAGGAAAAAATAAAGATAAGGGCACAGGGGGGGTGTAAAGAGTGATCTGATCTGCTTATTTTTACTCCCTCCGTCCCTTTTTATTAAGCCATCTTTTACTTTTCTAGTCAAAGATGATAAACTTTGATCCATTATGTTAACTAATGTATTTATGTGAAACTTAATAAATGTATACTTTTATGATAGTGTTTTTAACAAAGAACATTTTCATATCATTTTCATATTATCAATATAACCGTGTATAAATATATAATTGGTCAAAGTTTAACTTCAAAAATAGTGTTTGGCTAAATAAAAAGGGACGGATGCAGTATAATACTAGACCATAAGTTAAAGCATGATGCTCAATTCATGTCTCATTGTAAAGGTAGAATAAATACTTTATCATGAACCAATACTAAACATACTCAACCCTGGTCTCATATGCCAAATCATGATGGGATTTTATTTGATTTATGTTCCAAGCTAAGAGATATTCTCATAAACCACGATCACACATGCCATATCATGATGGGATTTTATTTGATTTATGTTCCAAGCTATGTGATATGCCATAAATTTAGCTTTGATGTTTACTTGTTCAGACTTTATTTATGTATTCTTAATACTCCCTCCGTGTTCTTTTGTTTGCAGCATTAGGTTTTGGCACAAGTTTTAAGGGAAAATAGTAGGGTTAGTGTAAAGTGATAAAGTAGGAAACAGATGGTTAAGTGATAAAGTATGTGAGGGAAGGTATTTAAAGGTAAAAGGTAAGGGTGTTTAGGTATTTTGATAGATAAAACTTTCCATAAAAGGGAAGTGTTGCAAAGATTAAAATAGCGCTTGAAATGGAAACTGTTTCAAACAAAAGAATACAGAGGGAGTACATAAAGACGAAGAGATTTAAACATATATAAAAAAATTAAGTGATAGTCATGTTTTATTTTCCTTCGCATTTTCCATAGGAAAACTGAACAAAAGAAAAATACTTTCCTTGGCAATCCCCCCCCCCCCTCTTACCCCTAGCATTTTGCAGGATCCAAACATACCCTATCCTACATTCATCTTTCACACAAACCATATTGAGCTTTTGCTTTTCAGTTGCATAGAAGCACATGTTTTTCAGAAAGGGGAAGTTTTTATCATTGGATTTAGCTTGACAGATTAACTTTCAGCTTTGGTTGTAGTGTTGCACTAATATGTATTATCCCTGGGTAAAAAGTATTTGCACTTCGCTAGTGGCATTGCAAACTCCTAGTCCATAATGATTGACTCTAGGGTTGAAGACTCGAAGTAATGTGTTATATTATATACTCTGAATATTTTTTTCCCCAGCATTTTACTGCTTAGTAATTAGGTTTTTTAAATCTGTACACAAAGGCTCTTATTAGTATCTGTTTTTTGTATCAACAAACAATTCTGGCAGGTTGGGAAGTTGGCTGATCTGGTCATATGGAAACCATCTTTCTTTGGGTCAAAACCAGAAATGGTAATCAAAGGTGGCACAATAGCATGGGCAAACATGGGGGATCCTAATGCAAGCATCCCAACACCGGAACCGGTAATAGTTATTGTTTGATTTGTATTCAGACAACAAACAAGCTTTAATGCGATAGGTAACGGAGGAATCCCAGTAGATAAAAGCAGTGTATTAATGAAGATTAAAGGTTGGAATACAGAAAATTATGAAAGAAAAGGTTTGAGACTCTTCGAGTGGTCTCTCACTCCCAGTTCCGATCCCAATTCCCAAGTTTCAGCCTGCGTTATTCTTTCCCCTACCCCTCTTTTAATATAAAACTCACTAAAAGGGCCAGCCCTCCCTTAAGCTATTGGGCCTGGAACCCTATTATTGGAAAACATTAAAATACTTAATAAGACTCTAATTATTTGTAGTACTCGGGTCCCTATCATCACTCCCCCCCTGAACTTCCACCTTGTCCTCAAGGTGGATGATAAGAGACTGATTTTCCATTGGGTTTCAGCAGGTTTTCAGCTTCCTCCTTTTCATATAACTGATCTTCTGTTCCCTTCTCTTCTTCTGGCTCTTCCATCCAGATAAGTTGATAATTTTTCATTCCACATACATGCTCTTTGCCCCATTTATTTCCACATTTGAAACATAGGCCCTTCTTGCTTCTTTCTTCTAAGTCCGCTTGTGTCAACCTTTGGCCATTCTCCCATGTCTTATTTGGTTTTGGCGATTCCTCCAGTTTGTTCTCCGAGAATGTTCTCTCCGGAGCAGTTGTTCTTCCCTTTGTCGCTTCCACCCAATTCCAGGCTCTGAAGAGTTTTCCTCCCTGTTCCTTCAAGCCTTTGTTGTCTTCTTCTTTATTTGTTTCTCCTGTCCATACCTTATTCTTCTGTTCAACTAGCTGGGCTGTGTCCATAAGATCAGTTAACCCAGTGGGCCGGTGCAACTTCAGCTCTGAGCTAATTTCTTCTTTGAGGCCATTAAAAAATACTCCTTTTAGCATCTCTGGGTCAGCAATTTTGAGGGGAGCTACAACCCTTTCGAAATGATCCCTGTACTCCATGACTGAATTAGTTTGCTTAATTTTGAGCATAGGGCCAAACGGGTTCTGAACCAATTCCGGCTGGAAGCGTCTGATCAAAGCTTCCTTAAAATTACCCCAGGAGTGGTCATCAGTCTGTTCATCCCACCATTGATACCAGTTCAGAGCCCTTTCGGTCATGGCTATCAGGACAACTTCCACTTTGTCACCCTCCGATACATGATTTAATTTAAAATAGCGTTCGACCCTGAGAAGCCAACCGTAAGCATCGTTTCCACTAAACAAAGGTAAATCCACCTTTCTTCCGGTATAAACCCGATCGTTAATTCTCGTATGCTCAGGAGTACGAGAAACGGATTTAGAATCGTGAGAATTACCTCCTGAACTGGACGAACTCACACTGGCAGAAGTGTGGCGCCGGCGAGGGGTGGCTGATCGTCCTCTTCTTTTCCTGCGATTTCCCTGGGTCTTGAGACTTTCCATCTTTGCTAGCAGTGTCTGCATCCGTTCATCCATCATTGACAGCATCTCTGTGCGCATATCGGCCATGGACCGCTCAAAAGGTCTCTCTAGGTTATCATTTATCAATCCTCTGCTCCATGTTCGATCGAGTGCGGACCATATACAGGTGCAGCGACTGGCTCTGATACCAATGATAGGTAACGGAGGAATCCCAGTAGATAAAATCAGTGTATTAATGAAGATTAAAGGTTGGAATACAGAAAATTATGAAAGAAAAGGTTTGAGACTCTTCGAGTGGTCTCTCACTCCCAGTTCCGATCCCAGTTCCCAAGTTTCAGCCTGCGTTATTCTTTCCCCTACCCCTCTTTTAATATAAAACTCACTAAAAGGGCCAGCCCTCCCTTAAGCTATTGGGCCTGGAACCCTATTATTGGAAAACATTAAAATACTTAATAAGACTCTAATTATTTGTAGTACTCGGGTCCCTATCATAATGTTAGATTGTTGTGGTTGCTATGGTGAATCATATGGTGATAGGAATCTGGCTTTGTAGTCTATTAATAAGAAATATTAATAACAGTAAGGGTACATTTAGTGGTTTAAATAGAAGGGGAAGGGGAGGAATAAGGAATCTAATAATAAGTATCTAGTGGGCTAACAGCCTTATTAATCCCTGTGTGGATAATATTATAAGTAGAAGGGGGTAGCTAGAGAAAGCAGGATGTGATTTCATTTGGTGTTGCCTTTGGAGAGTGGGCTTCTCGAACAGTCCCGTTACCTTGTTACCTACGTTGATACCTTTTCATTCAATACAGACTATCATCTGTCTCTTCCAGCTAGATCTGTGTGTTTTCTCAATACACACTATCATCTATCTCTTCCAGCTAGATCTGTGTGTTTTCACACTGTTTTGCTTTGATTAATACCACTGTTCTATCACCGGAATTGTATTTCGACTTCAACAAGTTCTCGTTTCAGTGGTGGATGGTTAGAACGAGAGCTAAAATGGAGATTCGCATGGATACTTTGGAGCGAAGATTACTGGAGTGGAAATTGGAGTTGAAGGAGGAGAATAGAATAATGAGGGACGAGAATAGAAGCATGAGGGACGAGCTTCGTTCAGCAATGGAGGCCTTGGCGGCAAATCTGACTGTCCATTACCGCGATGTCTGATCAGAATCGGTCCAGAGGTAGATCACGATCCCTAGCCGCTTCGTACAAATCGCCATCACTAGCAGCTCCACATCGTTTGTCATCACTAGCCGTTTCTCAGAGTTCGTCGCCTCTAGCCGCTCCTCAAAGTTCGCAGACGTCGTGGTTATCAGCTTCTTCGAGATCGCAATCGACAACTTCGCCATCGCGAACTTTTTGTCCCAGTTCGAAGTCGTGAACGACTTTTCCTCATTCGCAGATGTCATCGCAAACAGCTTCAGCGCTGACCGTAGCCCCCAGTTCTCAGGTGTCGTCTCAATCGCGTACATCTTCTCACACGTCGCAGGTTTCTTCTGAGTCTCTAGCCGCTCCTCACCAGTACTCTCCGTCACAAGCCATTGCTCTAAGTTCACAGGTTTTTCCTCAATCTCAAGCCACGTCTCACTATGTACTAGTTCCAGCGCCAGCGGATTCTCACACTTCTCAAGCGCTCCGTTTGGAGTCCGTTAACCTGCTGCAACCTTCCGGTGATGATAGGAGTGCTTCACGATCCAGAGAAAATGCAGAGAAGTTCAATAAGGGCAATGATGAAGGGCCAGGAGAAATCGCCAGCTGATTCTCTCACTTGGCAAACTCCCCAGCTCAGTCTAGAATCCATTAATCAGCAACAACCTATCATTGATGGTGAGGAAGGACCAGAGGAGAAATCTTCTGGGGTGACTCAGTCCTGGACAATCATGGAATATAAATCTTCTAATTATAAGATTGATAGCCCAAATACTTCTGAGTTGGAGAACAAGGTGGTCCCTGAAATTTATATAGATTATGCTCAACAGGACATCCTCACTGTTACAGGACAAGTAGATGAACCTCAAGGTAACTGGTATACTATTATAAATGGATTCAACAGCAAGGCGACAAATGCAGAATCATGGCCTCGTATTGCAGTGATATATGCACAGGTTCTGAAAATTCCAATCCAACAGTTAGATAGCTACTTAGGTTTTAAGGTGTTGGTTGACTGTAGGTCATTATCAGAATGGCAAACTAATGAAGGAAAGGAAGCAGCAGCAGTTTATATTCTTTTAATAGATGGAAGGGTAGGTTTTGATAACACGGTTCACACACTTACTAATAGAAGAGGGATGGAGCAGGGTGTTGCTTATGCTGAAAGTCAAGACCAAGCTCAGTTGGGTGACTGTGTTATACTTCCGGATGCCTTGGCAAAAGCATGGGTGCAGGATGATTTCCAGATTATTTCAATTGAAGAATCAGTTTGCAATCGGGATGATGAATGTGCTCTTGACAGCATTGATGAAAGAAAAATTCATGCAATAAAGAAATTCAGTAGTGATATCAAACTTAAGAATCATGACAAGGTTTTTGGACCTATTTCAGATTACCGGTTGAGTAGAATCATTGTGGATCTGGGCCTTCCTATTCAGGTTGCAGAAATTGATGCCTTCAAGAGGGAACAACTCATGAATTTATCTTTAAAGCCAGAAATTGCTAGTGGTGTCAAAATTGATAGAACAGTGGTATTAATCAAAACAAAACAGTGTGAAAACACACATATCTAGCTGGAAGAGATAGATGATAGTGTGTATTGAGAAAACACACAGATCTAGCTGGAAGAGATAGATGATAGTGTGTATTGAATGAAAAGGTATCAACGTAGGTAACAAGGTAACGGGACTGTTCGAGAAGCCCACTCTCCAAAGGCAACACCAAATGAAATCACAGCCTGCTTTCTCTAGCTATCCCCCCTTCTACTTATAGTATTATCCACGCAGGGATTAATAAGGCTGTTAGCCCACTAGATACTTATTATTAGATCCCTTATTCCTCCCCTTCCCCTTCTATTTAAACCACTAAATGTACCCTTACTGTTATTAATATTTCTTATTAATATTCCAGCTCTTGTTTGCTGTGAAAGAAATGAAGAGGAAAGGTCAAGTAATGAAGGTCATGGCCAAGCAAGCTGGGAGATATTGGGAAGGGAGAGGTCAGAGGTGCAAGAATGAAGGGGAAGTGCAAGACCATGGCAGATTCCTATCACCCACCTTGAGGACAAGGTGGTTGTTCAGGGGGGGAGTATTGATAGGAATCTGGCTTAGTAGGCTATTAATAAGAAATATTAATAACAGTAAGGGTACATTTAGTGGTTTAAATAGAAGGGGAAGGGGAGGAATAAGGGATCTAATAATAAGTATCTAGTGGGCTAACAGCCTTATTAATCCCTGCGTGGATAAGTAGAAGGGGGATAGCTAGAGAAAGCAGGCTGTGATTTCATTTGGTGTTGCCTTTGGAGAGTGGGCTTCTCAAACAGTCCCGTTACCTTGTTACCTACGTTGATACCTTTTCATTCAATACACACTATCATCTATCTCTTCCAGCTAGATCTGTGTGTTTTCACACTGTTTTGCTTTGATTAATACCACTGTTCTATCATATGGTCATGGAACTCCAGCGCTCTAGATTCTCCTGCTTTCAGATTATCCTTGGGAAATTTATTGCTAATTAGGAATATTGTCTCACCAACTTGTCTACGTAACTGAGACCTATTATAACTCTCTATTTTGAACCACAAGACACCCTTATTCCAGTTTGAAATTTTGATTTGCTTAGGGAATTAGGGTTGCTCTTGATATAGGGGTTTTGTAAGAAAAGTTTTGTGGGCTTTAATCTATATCTTGATGAATACTGTCTCTAAAGGAAGAAAAGGTGATTGAAGTATTATATGAACCCTCCAAGAATAGTTTCAGTTATTATATAGAATAAAAAGGAAACAATTTCAATTATTATTGCAACTATTGCATATGAGTTTTTGTCATTTTTAGTCCTCCGACTATTATGTTATTTACATTTGTGGTACTCGACTTTGATTTTTTTCATTTTTAGTCCTTGACTATTGTGTCAAAGACACTTTTGGTACCCGTCTTCGAAAATTTTCATATTTAGTCCTCCGACTTTTATAAAAGTGACATTTTTGGTCCTTCAACTATTGTAATAATGACATTTTAAGTCCTCCATTTATTGTGTCAAAATCATAGTTGAAGGACTAAAAGTGTCAATTTGATAATACTCAGGGGCTAAATATGAGAAACTTTGAAGTGGAGGACTAAAAATGTCTCTAGCACAATAGTCAAGGACTAAAATTGAAAAAATTAAAAGTCGAGTACCAAAAGTGTCAAAGACAGAATAGTCGGGGGACCAAAAATGGCAAAAACTCTATTGCATATTATGTTTGTCTTTCAATTTCATTATATAGACTAATCCCTCCAAAACCCTACATCCAAACAGACCCTTAGTGTTGAAGGTTCTCTGTTAATGAGGTATGGCATCTCATGGTAGTGTGCTCCTCTTCTATATGCTTTGACCGTTACAGAACAGAAGTGTGTTCTCTTGTAAATTAATCCTCCCTTACTCTACAGGTGATAATGAGACCTATGTTTGGAGCACTTGGAAAGGCTGGGAATTTCAATTCAATTGCATTTGTCAGCAAAGTAAATTATCTCCCTCAAACCTTACCCCCACCTTCTCTCTTAGTACTTTATTTGAAAACATACATACTGGCAATTTTTGTACATAATCACATGCACCTGCTTACCTTTGTCTGTCTTCTTCTACCCACCCATCTTCACAACACACAGGTGGCTTTGGAAAGCGGGATAAAAGAGCGGTATGGGCTGAAGAAGAGGGTGGAGGCCGTAGGGGACGTGAGGAGGCTCACAAAATTGGACATGAAACTCAACGATGCACTTCCAAACATATCGGTGGACCCTGAGACATACAGTGTGATTGCAGATGATGTTGTGCTCTCATGCCAAGCTGCTACTTCTGTCCCTCTTTCTCGGAATTACTTCCTCTTCTAGCTAATGTGGTAAATTGAAACAGATAGTTAGTTGCGACTTTTAGTCCTTTGCGTAAAAACTCCACACACCAAAAGTATACTATATATTGATTCACAGAAACAGGGAATTACAATTTAGAAGATGAACGGGAATAAAAAACAAAAGATAAACTGACGTAGATACATGTTGAGACTAGTTCGAGAGGGTCTCTCTCTCCACAACTTCCGCCCCCTTTCCAGAATGCCCCCTCTCTCCAGTCGGTTATTTTTTATCCTCTTCCCTCAGCCACACAGATACTTCCTCACTGGTCGGTTATGCCCCCACTCTCTTTGTGTTGATAGTCCATTTCCCTTTTTACCCCTACGGTTATAAAGTTTAGGGCCCGTTTGGTAACATTAAAACTTTACATGCAAAGTGATTGCATGTAAAGTTTAGGGCCGTAAAATAGTTTGCATGTAAAATAGAAATACATCGTTTGCCCATGTGTGTAACCTATTTTTATATTACACCAAAGCTCTTTACATTGTTTGTCAAATAAGTTTTTCATATAAAATTTTCAAAAAATAAGTACATAGCTCCGGTTAACCAAATTAAACGGTAGAACTTACAGCATAAAATGGCCTGCAACCTTTATTTTTTAGAAAGAAATATTCTGAAACTTTATTAAATTCAAATGGCATGTTTCTAGCTAAATATGTATTCTGAGAAGCTAACCTCCTGGAGCAAGTGGAATGTGCTATGCAGACTAAAGCTATAGGAGAAAAAACTAGTTTTAGCCGCCAAGATTTTCCTTTTCCGCCCAACTGCAGTACGTTTTCTCAAGCTAGCCTAGGTTTACACTCCTTATTAGCTGATGTGAAATAGTTTACTACCCTCCCTCCATGTAAATATTTTACATGGTGCAGTGTAAAATGTTTTTAAAAAAGTGCCCTACAGTTTACATTAAATAATTAAAACTAACGATGTAAAATGTTTCCTTCCCTGCACTTCGCATGCAAAGTGTTTACTTTACATCGTACCAAACGGGCCCTTAGAGAAATCCCGGTTGGGATTAATTGTAAAATTAGTTGGGCTCGTATCATAGTCTAAGATGACTTCGGTTCGAGCTTGATTCATATTTGTATACTTCAGCCTGAGTTTGGATTGTTGTAAAATTATATGATACTAGTATATAGTTTGTTAATCTTTAGCATAGGGTATGTTAAAAAAATGATTCCAATATGCAATGAACTACAGTTTCGCCTGTTAACGTAGAAATACTCGAAGGGTCAATGATAACAAGCTCTATGCTAAGAAACAAATATTATCATTCCTTAATTCAACTTCCTCACTGTTATTCAACATCCCAAAACACATCTTCAATCAATAGCAGCAAATGAGCACCAATGCAGCAACTGGATATTGAGTTAAAAACATAGAGTAATAATTAGGGGGTAATCAAACAATGAATGATGAATCACACACAACACTTCATTATTCACATTGATCTTGGAAGACACTGCTGAATGTTTTTGTACTTGTGCATATTTACCTCCAGTCCTCCACAACTGAAATAGTATGGCCCTTTTTTCCAGATCTTCGGCGAAATGAAGTCCATACTTCTGCAATAATGCTACAGCAGATGAGAATCAAGGATGCATTGAAGCAACCAGTCAAGGAATAACAGAAGGGCAGCAGGATGTCATAAGTATGGAAGAAAGCGGCCCTCCCTTTGTAGACTTAATTAATTGATTTTGTTATATGTACTCTAATACTGTGTTGAAATAAGGTCCAGCTATTGAAAGCCAAATGCATGGAATATTTGTATGTTGAACTCTACTGTCATTTAATTATTTAAACATGCCCCTTATATAGTTAGATGACAACTTGGAGCCATAGTTACTGTAAATGCAAAATTGAATAGAAAACCAGAACTTCCCGACCTCTAGCATTTCTAATAGCTAAGAGTTTGCTGGCGAAGGGCTTAGCTAAATCTTGAACTTACTACAATTATAGTTTAACCTCATAAGAATATAAGATGCACAAGACATTATTCATATTGATCCCCAAAAATGAACTTCCTAGAATACTAGGGGTATACAACATTAGAAATTTTGCAATCTTTCATAAGCTTAGGCGACTCTCTATGCTCCCAAAAACTTTTACCTTATATCTTGATATTGGTTTTAAAGTGCGTTCGTATAATCGTATGTCGTTTGAGTAATTAACAATTTTGCATAATTGGCACCGTCCATTACTTCTATCAGTTCTATGTGAATATGTGATATACTCTTTAGAAGCATTCAATTGAAAACCATTACATTATTTTGAGGCGAAAATTGATATTGAATAATTCCAAAACTATATACAACACCAATCAACTCATAATAATGAACTCAATAATTTTTGTTATATTTTACTCCTAGATAGGGAATTAACTCTTAATAATGTAATTGATCTAAATAGGACCAAAACAATAAAAAAGTTCCAAAATAAGAATTTATTCCCGAAATAAGAGTTTTTAATTGACTAGACCATGTCTAATTCCCGTAATACCCCTCTTTACAGCTATCTCCAACTTTAATTATTTACTTTTGTCAGATTTGCTTTTCCTGTACACATTCAGATCGCACGCATCTTCCTCTTCCTTCTTGTCCCCCCCCCCCCCCCCATTCTACCTTCTCTCCTCAAGTTTTTCTCCTCCATCACTCATCCATATATCTTTGGATCTCTCTGATTTCTCCGTATCTTTGGCGCATAATGAAGTTTTGGATTAGGATTTTTCTTCTCAACTCCGGCCATCGGCGGACGGCGGCGATTGAGGTAGGTAAATTTTGATCTCTTCTTCCTCCTCCTCCTCGCCTTCTTTTCTTCCCCCTATCCCTTCGTTTCCTTCAATCTGAGGCAGAGCTTCTATTTCCTTTTCCTTTTTTTAAAATCGTAAAGCTTCTACACCACTTATGACCAATTCAACTTTTGAATTGATTTTTGGTTCACTTTGCTTTACTTTTCCAGATCCGAATAGAACTTATCTAGATTTTTTTCTTGGTTTCTTCACCTTTTTTTCTTTGATTGTTTCTTTAAGCTTTTGTTCTTTTAACTTTTTAATACGGAGTAATTTTTTTCATTCGGTTATGACTTATGTCAATTATATTTTTCTGACTTCAAATTAATTTTTTTTATTTAAATTTCCATAACTGCTATTAAAATGAAAATAATAGTCCTTTGCAAAAACAATACTATTAATGTCATTATTTTCTGCTTTTCTATATTAATATTATTTTTGACACTAATGCCATTTTTATGACATTAATTCCATCGACATGGCAAAATTAATTTTCTGCTTTTTTATGACACTAATGCCATTTTTATGGCATTAATTTCATCCACACTAATGCCATTTTTTGACATTATTGCCATTTTTATGACATTAATTCCATCCACATGGCAAAAACATTACCTATAATGCCATGTTTTTTCATGTATAAAAATGTTATTTCTGGACAAAAACAATATTATTAATGCCATATTTTTTCATGTATAAAAGTGTTATTTCTGCACAGTGTCATTTTTATGACACTAACTCTGTAGAGATGACAATATTATTTCCTCGTAAATCAAATATTTATTATACCATGAAAATGTCGAAATAGCACAAAATTCTTGTCCTCCATTTTTATATAAATCTCATTAAAAAGGTACTCAAATAGGCAGATGATATTTTAATACATTTTTCAGATCTAAAATATGTGGTGGTGGTGGTGCAGTCAAAGGTGGTTGAGCCAAAGGTGGTGGTGGTTGAGGTGGTGCGGCGGTGATGCAGATGGTGGTGCCGATGATCGGTAGTAACGGCGGAAGCACCTGGCAACTAGGACACTGCTTAAGCAGCAATGACGACGGAGATTACGGTTTCGGCGGCAGCCGGTGGTGACTGACGGTTGTGTACGGCAGTGACTGGAGGAGGCCGACGACGACTGATGCAGGTGCTGGGTGGTGGTGCAGGCAAAAAACATATGAGTGGGGTGTTGGGAAATGACAATTCATTTTTGTGTGTTGGCCGTAGTATATTCGTAATAATTAATTATTGTACTTTTTTAAGGGTACATTTGTCAACTCATTCTCTTTTACTCCTACGAAACTATAGAGATTATTGAAGTCCTATTTTTGCATTTTTGTTATATTTTACTCCTAGATAGGGAATTAACTCTAATTAATATCGGAGCCAAAAAGAAAATAGGATATGTGAGTTAAAAGGATAAGATAAGATTAAAAAAGATAAAAATAAATACAAACTAAGATAAACATAAATATGATAAGATAAAGAGGGAAAAAGGATAAAATGATAAAAATAAAATGCATTCAATATTTGTTCAAGTATGGGATGACTTCATGCTGACGTCACTCGCACTAATTAACTTGCCGTGCTCCGACACCCCGCCACGTAGCAGTTTTTCTGTTTACCGCCAACGGGAATTGATCAGCAATCAATTACCGACTTTACACCCCCCTTTCCATGTACGGAGTATGATTTATCTCTCCCTTCAAAGTCCCCAATGTAAAAAATTAAGGGTCAACTTTCATTCTTCTCACTTTTTGACTGCTAAAACAATATGCACTACATATGGTATCATAGGAGGAATCGGACATAAAAGTCTTGATGACTTGATGTATCTCCATGACGTATATGTAAACTCTCAAACGCAAATATGATTAGATATGTTATTAAAATTAACTTAAAGAGAAATTGATCTAAATGGGACTAAGAACGTTTGTGTATTTCAATATTAGACTGTCATATTTTTATTCACTAAATAGGAGTAATTACACATGTTTTGATTGTATGAACTTTTAAATTTAACATGACAGTATTTTCTAAGCTTGAATAAAAACATGATAGTCCTATTTTGAAATTATCAAACGTTTTAACTCCTAATTTGGCCCAAAAACATAAGGAATTTACCCTAAATAGGACTAAAAACGTTTGTAAATTCCAAAATAGGACTGCCATGTTTTTAATTCTCTAAATGGGACTAATTACTGTCATGTTTTGACAGTACAAGACTTTAAACATGACAATATTTTCCAAACTTGGCAGTAATTACTCCTATTTTGGGAATAAAAACATGAGTCATATTTTGGAATTTATAAACGTTTTTTGTTCCATTTCGGGAACTTTCCCGATAACATATCAACCCCCAAATGTGTCATTAACTGGAAATATCCGATGACCCGGGCGTACTCGGGCTGGAACCAAAATGGCTCAAACCTGCATAAAAGATAAAAACGACTCAAACCTGTATTCTAAAGAAGGAATAGAATCGACTAGACCAACGAACTACTTGATTTAGTTGACAAGTCACTGTGTCACAAGTAGGGCTGTGCATTAACCGGGTCGGACCGTATTTTAGACCTGAACCGGACCGGAATGACCCGGTCCGGACCGGACCGGTATTTACCGGTCCGGGTTTCGGTCCTTAGTTTTTCAAGATTCCGGGTTTCCGGTCCGGTCCGGGTCAAACCCGGAAAAAACAGGTCCGGACCGGAATAGACCGGTAACCTATTGTTCCATAAAATATATACTTCGTTTTGAATCATTAGTCAATTTATATTTGGCTTACTACTATGTTTATGGCTTATTTTTGCCGTTTGCTATACAAACAAATATATACAGAGAGTGTATTTGGTGTCTAATTATTTCCTAAGTTGTTTATAATTTTTTTTATGTAGCAGGTCCTAAGTTTTTTATTGATCGTAGTTTATATTTGTTTGATTTTTCCAAATCGCTTTTTATTTGTTTCTTTATTTGCAGGTGTGTATGTATTTTATATGTAGTATATTTTTGGACGTAATTTAGTTTTTATTACCCCACAATAAATTTTGCCAATTTAATACACAAAAGATTGTAGTTTTAATTATTGTGGGATACTAATTGTTACGATTGAATAGTTTTGATGACTATATTCCAAAATTAATAAATGAGCTAAACAATATTTAGTCTATTTAGCATATCCGCATATAAAATTATAGTTTGAAACAACAACATCCAAGTCTTATTCCTAAAAAATTTGGGGTCGGCAAAGAACACTCTAAGATAATACTCCGTGTGTCTTTTTTTAAAACTGGGTCAATTAGGGTCAAACCCGGACCGGACCGGAAAATTCAGGTCCGGACCGGTACGGACCGGTTAGATTCAGGTCCGGTCTTCGGTCCATAGAAAATGATGATTCCGGTTCCGGTCCTAACCGGTTCCGGTCCGGTCCGGTCCGGTTTTGGACCGGTGCACACCCCTAGTCACAAGTGTTCTCTCTAACTGCTCTTATAGCGTTTCTAAATAAATCCTGGGTTAGAGTGATATTGGTAGTTCTTGCTCCACAATTAACAATCATAATTAAAAAAAAAAAGATAAAAAAAACATAAAATCTAATATTATAAGTACAAATAATAATAATAATAATAATAATAATAATATAATATACTTCGTATACACTTTTAATACGAAGTAATTATTATATTCATACATGTTTTCTATCTAAAATTTTGTTTAAAATGGGATATTTTAAAATAATGGTTTTATTTCAATGTTAACATGCATTATGAATATTAAATTTTGATTTAAAATAATTTCCCTTTACAAGTTTAATTTGATACTCCCACCGTATTTTAATATTCACTACATCAGGTTTTAATTTAAAATAATTTTCCTTTACGGGATTAATTTGATACTCCCTCCGTATTTTAAAATTTACTACATTAGGTTGGACACATTATTTAAGTAGTAAAGTAGTAGGGGTAGTGATTAATGTAGAAAAATATTCGAGAGCGTAACAGTATGAAAGAGAAGATAAAAAGTACTCTCTTCATTCCTAAATTTTGTTCCATTTTATAAATGGCAGGGGATTAAGATAATGGTATTGTGCAGGCTTGGACTCAACCGGACCCGGTTCCGGGTCGGGCCTAGGCCAAAAAAAATTCACTGAAGCCTGGGACCGGCCTGGTCGTTGACCGGTGCCGGTACGGGCCGGGTCGGGTCCGGTTATTTTTTTTTTTGGTTTTCTTGATTATTTTATCCCCTACCCCCCCCCCCCCCCATCCCACAAACCCATCTGGAAACCCATTTCAGCCCATTTAAACCCAGCCCAAAGGCCTAAACAAAAAAAAAATTGAAAATGCCCGAACCGGGCCCGGAACCGGCCGGGTCGATTCCCAATTCCTTCAGCCCGTACCCACCCCCGGTTTCCCCTTCTAACTGGGCCTAGATCCGGTACCGATTTCCGGTTCCCGGATCCCGGGCCAGGCCCAAATAGTGACGGGCCAGACTGGGCCCAAATAGTGTTGGGCCGGGCCGATTCCCGGGCCGGATGGCCCAAACCGGGTCCAAGCCTAGTATTGTGTGGTGGAGAGTTGTGCAGAGGGAGAAATGTGCAAGAATTGTTGTGTTCTTCACAACAAAAAAAGGAAATCGGAAGTTTATTTTGGGAATCCCAAAAAGGAAAGTTGGAAGTATTTTTAGAAACAAAGGAAATAAATAAAGTAAGAGTAGTTAAGTATATTATAAAGGGTAAGTTTACCAAAAATAAAAGTGTAAAGAGCTTATAAATACAGTCCAAAAAGGAAGGTGTAGGGAACTTTTAAACACAGAGGGATTTAAATATTGAACAATTTACATAGTTAAATACGGAAAGATTTAATTACGGAGGGAACTTTTATACCCTCTAAGTTACGATTTCATTGTTAGTCAAAATATTTGGTACATTTTCTATCTAGTGAAAACCCTGAAAGTTGAATATTGAGACACGGGAAAAGCACAGGAAGGGATAATTCCCGTATCTTTGGACCTTTGGTAGATTAGGGAAAGAGCGCACCACAAGGCAAGCCTCTACATTACATCTATTTCCCATGTTTACTATGATAAGTTTTCCTCTCCAATGTCCCAATATAAAAGGCACATTTGTTTTTTCACATTTTTTAAGGGTGAATACTGTTTAACACTGTTAGAACGCTATTTAACACTGTTTTGTACTATTTTGTACTATTTTGTACTATTTTGTTTGCCAAAAAGGAAAATGTGTCTTTTATATTGAGACGGTCCAAAAAGAAAAGTGTTTTTATATTGGGATAGAGGGAATATAGTTTTAAATATAGAATATGGTTTCCAAGTGCGTTGACGATATAGTTTATCATTATGACTTTTCTTTCACTGTGCGGGCATGCAACCTTTTACACAAGTCCAGAAGTTAAGTTGGTTCATAAAAGCCTAAAAGGTATTACTGAAATTATGATTGAACAGCAAATATATTAATAATAATAAAATTGCAGAATTTGAATATACAGCTGTTAAAAATTGTCAAACAGCAGAAGTGGACAAAGTAGGTCGAAATGTCGAATGAGTAAATGGGGGAGTCCAAGACAACATGACCACATATTTCAGGCTTTCAGCGCAATACTTGGGAAGTAACAAAAGGTTTACGGTATGGTACGATAATAATTCAAATTAACTAAACAAAGAAATGTTTTGTCAAAAGAATATAATTCTTATAAACGAAATTCTTAACATTTTATACTCCATTTGTATTTCTTAACATCAAGTATAGCACAGATACTTGATTTCTGTAGATGACAATTGAGTTTAGACATATATGCTCCTATAACTAACCGAGTGCAACCTTGCACAACAGGACCTAACAAATGTGGGGACGTTGATGGTCTCATCAAGTCCAGTATATCAAAACATGTTTGGTCAGAAAGAGGATTGCAGATTTGCAGGTTTAAAAATGGCTTTTAGATGGCAAAACCTGCTGCTACGGGCCCCACTTAGGTACAAATCTGAATTACATCCGTGAAAATTTTCCTCAGGATTTCAGATGCCACCATAGAGGCATAGAGGCAGTCGATTGATTGTTTGCTTGAATGATCCACTACAAATATATCTCAAGGCTCAAGGCAATCCGGTCACAAGCAAGCAAGTGGCAAGCTTTAGCCACATGCAGTTCCACCAAACCGTCACCTCCTACATGAAACAGCTCAAGTACCCATGGTGGGCTTTAAGGCCCATTAAAGATGGTACATCAAACTCCTTCTAGAGTGAAGGCAATTCATCAAGCAATGACAAGTGAGAATGACACCAATTAAGCACAATTGATTTCTTGCATCTTGATCAGATACCATGTGGCATGCCTTTGCCCTTACACACAAGGCTTTGCCACTTTAGTTGAAGAATCTGAAGTGAAAAATAGATTTCGGAATGTATTCTATTCAACAGCATTTGTATGGATATTTGGAGACCAACCAAGCAAACTTACCTTTATATGCATCGAGGATCGGATCACCATCTTCCTCCCTCATCCAACCCCATGCTTAGCAGATCAAAGTCCATGTTGTATTATCAAATATACAACAAAGAACCAGATAGGGTATGTAAATGGTCGTCTGGTGTGTTTATTTAAATATGATTGACGAAGGAAGAAAATCTACCCTTGCTTATTCCCAATAAGTCACCTAAGGGTGGATGTTTCCTCATTTTTGTAGTTAAAGCTACAAGTACAAAGGCATTGGAGAACGATAAAAAAAAAGTTGTTTTGTTTAAGTTTTGAACAGGCTGTTATTATGTTTAATAAAATTTTAAAATACTTGATCCAACTAATGATGTTACTTTACACACATAAAGAATAGATAGGGGGCAAGAGATGAAAAATGCAAACAGGAATTTGAAAAGAAAAAGGATTTGCCAATTGAGAAGTCCATATCCAGGGCCCACGAGGAAAAGGAAGAATGAACGAAGTATTACCCAAAAAATCAGAGCCAGAATACATGGTTCTTTTGAGGCAGTCGGACAGGATATTTCACAAGAAATTTCAGCTAAAGAAGAAATGAGTTCCATCGCGAAGTGAAAATTTTCAGCCAGAAATGGTGCCCATAGCCCTATCTCCTTGCATAAAAACTCAAGTGCAGAAACTAAGATATTCTAGTGGTGAAAGATACCTTATTGAGTTCAACAGAAACAAAGGTATATCTGTCCAGGCTCAACAACTAGGTTCCTCAACCTGCTCGCTGATGAAACAACAATTGCAGCCGAGGGTGAAAATGCAAACCATTCCACTGCACGCCCAAATGTTGCTCGTAGAATCAAGTGACAACAAAAAGAAAAGGAACGCCCATTGTAATGAAATTCCAAATGAAATACATGAATAAACCAGCATAATATAACAACTTACGGAGAAATGACTGAGCAAGAGAAACAAGAAAAAATCGAGTCTCTAGCTAAAGCAAGTCAATCATAGAACTTGATAAGTGGTTCTCAAAAAACCAAGTTTTCAGTTAGTTTCGAAACCTGAGCAACATCATCACAAGGGCATGGCATGGGTATTGTAATAGGAGATTGTATATGTCTGCCTGGTCTTCAATTTTTCAATACATCACAGATAGTTTTAGGCATGGCTGATTTGTACACCCTAGGATTCCTAACAAAAGTGTATCAAAAGAGGGGACAACCCATTTTTCAAAAGTTTTGAGGCAAGCAAGACAGTTTACCTGTTGATGCAACAGATCCTGGAAGTGTGATGATAAAAAGTAAAAGAGAAAGCATGTGAAACCAACATTTCTGAAAGAGAAACACGTTTTTATTTCAATAATTATCAGCAGGTGATAAATTCCACATGATGCAGGGAGAGAATCTTTGTGATCCTCGCCTAGATCCAAATATTCAGATCCAATAAGTACCTTTAAAGTGGTTCATTACTTCCTGTCTACGTCTTCATCAATGAAAATGATAGTGGAACACTCTGCCTGCTTTACACCATCATCTCTTGCAAACACAATGTGAAGATCAAAATGGATGAAAAGTAAAATTCCCAATTAAATTCATCAATACTGAACACCAATAAAATCCATAAGCTCTACTATTCAGAACCAATGTCATAGAAACTGTTTACAATTTTCAAATAAGAAATATGTTACATACACGAGAAACAATTGAATCTGGCTGGTAAATTAAGGCCTCAGCATACCACCCAGCATGACAAGCAGTCCGGCAGTCTTTGTTTTAAGCAGCCCTGGAACACATCTGCAATATACTGTGCCAAAACAATATCTTCTCCACCTATTTTGTAGAACGTGCCTGCTAAAAAACAGCACGGGTGACCTCACAAACAAGGTTTGCAACTCCCTTTCAGTAGATGGGCTCTCTCACCTCAACCATTCAAATTGACAAGTATTGCAGAAAGAGAATCTTAAACAGTACAAATGAGCATTACTGAATTTTCTTAACCAAACAAACCACCATTTCCTACTTCACCTTGCTGCAACTCCTTCCTACGCAGCTCCTCCAGTGGATCTGGACTTTTATATACCCGTCGCATCCGCCTGAAACATAAAGGGGGGAATGAATATAGTTCTTGTAAATATAAGTTTTACTGAAGAAAAAATGAATATGTTTCGCAAACAAAACAGTACCTGTCCTGAGCATGCTGTGCTGGAAATGTTGGCATAAATTCTTTAGACTTGGGAAGAGGAACTTCACGAAACCACTCGTGATTGAGTGCTGCTTCAACAGTTATACGCTGCAATTCATCAAAACCATATACGTTATAACATCAAATACTAACACTGATGTTTGTTTTCAATCTGAATAGTGCTCACCTTCTCAGGATCAAAAGTCAGAAGCTTGTTTAACAAGTCAAAGCCAGCATCTGAAAGTACCGGCGACCCTGTGAAGGATGTGGCTGGAAACTTCTTACGCAACAGGTTATACCTGAAACAAATGATTCACTAGGTTAAATGAAGCAAGACAGTCATTTAACTGAGACTTGTCGCCAAGAGAGGCAAGAAAGCCAGACCAGTATCACCCAAAGCTGGAAGCCTGGGAAAACAGTGGCAAAAACAGAGAACATGAATCTCAAGTTATCTAGTGTATGAAAAGAAATTTACAAGGAAAAGATACTCACTGATGCTTCACAAAACTGATCTTGACACCTGGAAGTTTAGAAAATCCAGGCCATATTGTTTCGTTGGGTGTGCCAAGGATTTTGAAAATCTGAATACATAAAAGTCTGTTAGGCATGAATAGTAGTAGTAAATAACAAAAAAACTGGCTAAAGAAAGTCTTGAAAGGTAGTAAATTTAACACATTAATTACCTTATCAAGTTGTTCAATCTCTGATTTCCCATTGAATAGTGGTTCTTTAGACAACAACTCAGCCATAATACAACCCAAAGACCACATATCGATTGCTGTTGAATATTGCTTGGCTCCCAATAACAGTTCTGGTGCCCTGCATGTAAATAAACTCAAACAATCAATATCAATTATTTAAACAACTCATGCCACACCATCTATTTACCGTGTTTGGGGAAAGCAAATTATACATTTGAAAGTGCAATGGCATACTGGCATGCAATGTTTATGAGATGTATATGTACACAGCAAAAGAAGGCACAGCATTAAGCTAATAAACTGTAGCGGAATAAAATACAATGTCTAAATGAAATCATGAACACACACAGATAGACGCTCACCTGTACCATAAAGTAACCACCAATTGAGTATAGGGTTTCAGAGGGCTGCCGTATTGTCGAGCTAACCCAAAATCACAGATCTTTAACTCACCACGGTTATTTAAAAGCAAATTTGAAGTCTTTAAATCTCGGTGAAGAACCCAATTATCATGGAGATACTTGATGCCCTCTAAAAGCTGTATCATAAGGCATTTCACTTCACTTTGGCTAAATGGCTGCTTCATTGTTTCCATTAATGCCTTGAGGTCATGTTCCATATACTCCATCACCATGAAAATCTTATCAAGACTGTTACCCACAACAACTTCCTTTACATCAACAATAGACGGGTGATGAAATGAGAGAAGAATATTGATTTCCCTTAGAGAAGTCAAGGGAAACCCTTCCCTCTCTTTCTCCATTTTAACCCTTTTCAAGGCAACAATTTCTCCTGACTTCTTATCCCTGGCCCTGTAGACTACCCCATATGTGCCTTCATCAATCTTGTTAAGCCTCTCAAATTCATCAACACTCCTGCATCCTTGAAGCATGTTCACACTTCTTTGCATTGGGGGTGCAGGCTCTGGTGTACTGGGTGAGACATGGTCATCTTCAGAATCTGTATCTGACTGGCTAGAACTAGTACCCACACGATTCTGCTCCTTTACAATATCCATGTAATCGCTGTTGTCACCATCATTGTCAGCATAACTGTCTCTACTGGAAGACCTAATACGCTCCTCAGATTCAGATAACCTAGTCCTAGTTCCTTCAGAATCTCTACGAAGCTCCAAGACCTCAGGGGTTGGTGTTTTTGAATTTTCCTTTTGCTCCATGAACTCCGAAGCTGACTTTCTCTTTCTTGATTTGGGAATTTCATCATCATTTGATATTTCACCTTCATCGGCTGGGGAATTAGCATCAGTTGCCCACCGTGAAAACCTTATGGTTCGCGTGGGTACATACTCATCATCCTGAAATTCTTGACCATCATTGGAGGGCAAAGCTAAATTAACAGAGGATTGAATGACACTTGCAGCATGAGTTTCAGGAGTACTGTTTGGTTGAGTTTCAGGATTGCTGTTTGGTTGAGCAGGAGCAATAGGTGAATACTGAAGCTTGCTATCTGTCATAGGAGAACAGCGCTTGGGTGTGTTAATTGACTTCAGTATTGGATACTGAGGAGGAAGGTCAGAAGCAGGCTGTGTACTAACTGCATTTACAGCTTTAGGCACCTCCTTATCATCTCTATCCCAAATGATTGGAGAGAATTTCCTTTTCTTACTCAACATAGGTGACCTGTTTCCATTGGCCAACTTTTTAGCTTCCCCGCCTTTAACCTCTTTATCTATGTCCATAGTTCCATCGGAGCTACTTTCACTAGACAGCTCCCCAGGCTCCCGGTCAACATCCCTCACCGTAAATCCAGGTCTTCGCCCACGAGCATTACCACCACTTCCACCTTCGCTGCTACCTGAGTCACTCCTACTGGACACAGACCGACAATCCCCATTCGTCAATTCTCTTTCAAATATATCCTTCTCTCTGACTCTTCCCCCATCTCTACCATTCCTGTCACGAACATTAAATCTGTCATAATCCCGATCGACATCCCTAGTTCGCTCATAATCCCTCTTGGAATACCCCAATTCCCTTCTGGGCACATCCAAATCTGACTCGCGGTTCCTGAACTCGTTGTCTCTGTAACCACCGTGTCTTCCAGCAGCCATATGGACGCACGTTGTGTGAACAAAACCCTTAACTAACTCTACCTCAAAACAAAAAACCCTAGCCCCAAAATATCTGAAAAATCCTCGTCCAGACCAAACCCTAAATGGACCCGGTAAATCGAACAAAAAGGGGGATCTTGAAAACAAAACCAAATTTTAGGACGAAGAAGACAGTAGCAACGACAAATCGAGCTATATGATTGTTTATTTTTGTCAAGCCTCAAGTTATGTGAATTGATTGGAATAACAGAAGATGTGGATTCAAACAGAAACCCTTGGGAACTAAAGCTCAAAAAGTAAATCCTGTGCGCGATGGCGATCGAAAGCGTCTTACCGAAGAAAGGAAGCGGCGGCGAATAGCGAAAGATTGGAAGAGGCGGCGGCGACGACGCTGCTTGTGAAGCTATATAGAGAGAGGGGTTATGATTCTGCTTCTCTCTAACGCGGATAAGGCACGAAGCGATATGAGAGGGAACCTTCGTCGAAGGAGGCCTTCTATAATTGCCTTCCTATTTTTAAATTGAGACGCGACGCCTTTTTTGAATTTCCTTTTTTCCTAATAATAACTTTTTTCCCTATATTGTTCTGTTTCACTTGTTTTGCACGGATGAGTTTGAGACTTTGAGGGGCTAATTTAGATAGTTGTATTTTCTTAACTTGTTCCCGAAAAGTATAAATTTTCAGCTCCCAAGGGTCTCATGTCCCGGCCCGATAGAGCATATGAGAAGATGTCAATCATGATGTCTCATATGAGTATAGAGGCTAGAGCATTATCCATTGCGTACAAGGAATCTTCCTAATATTGAGAGGTTACTCTCACGTTGCCGCTTGTGTGACTCAATCTTGGGTCACTTGTTCCAAGCTTCACCTTTGTGACCAATTGAAGGGTTGCGTATGAGAGCTTGTATTTTCTTTACTAAAGCCAACTGAAACGCATGGCGAGATGTGAAGCCTGGAAGAAATGACAAGAGTGATCGGTTTGGTGGATACTCGTACTGAACTACTTGGGTTAAAATGGAGAAAACCGCATCGACTGAGTAACGATTACATAGCGGGAAATACATGTTTTATTTTTATGGTGGTTATGATTTTATACATTCCTGCACCATTACTCGCCTTGTACCCGCCTCGTTACATTTTGATTATACTTTTTCCTATTGCTTCTCACACTAATAATAAAAGATGAATTTTTTTCTTTTCATTGCATATATATGGATGCACTAACTATAATGTATGAATGAAAATTCATAATAGATTTTAATATCATATTTCATTTGGTTTTTCTCTTTTTGTTTGGTTATTGTCATATATTTTTCTTGATTAATTATTTTCCAGTATGAGTATATTTAGACTCGGGCTGATTTAGATTGTCTTCTTTCTCACAATGTAGATGCACGAAACTTTTAAGTGTGCCTCACATCTAGAGTTGTATAGGTGATGCCATTTTTCCTTTTAAAACATTAATGTTTACACTAAAATATTGACTACTCATTTAATAAAGCAGTTACATGCAGTTATCTTTGTTACCCGGTGCGATAGTTATGGTTTACTAAAAATTATCCGTTGGATGTGAGGTGGTTAAGGGGAGGGAAAATTACCCAATGAAACAGGTACAATTATATGCATATTTGTCCTCGATTCGCCTTGTTATTATCTCTAATTGCTAGATGTCAATGACGAGAGATTATTATTGATTCAAACACGGCCAGATTTAGATATATATTGTTCCTTTCACAATATTTTTCCTATATGCGTTGTTGCTAATGCAGGTGTTAGTGTTTGCACTCTTAGAATCATGGAGTATGTGAAGTACACTTCAAAACCCCTACATAGGTAAATTATGTCCTGGTCACAATCTACTTTCATCGGTATTGGCTTTAACAGATAAATCCAGTAGGACTTACACCACTTGCTACTAGGTTGTTCCTCCCACCACACGAGTGTGCCACCTCCATTAGCGTTCCTCCCTTCTCAACTGTTGAGCTACTCCGTGAAGATAGGGAAAATCATGCGGAGCAAAACCTCTCTCATCTCCCCTAGGTAGGAATTGAACCCAATACCTTTCAATAAGGAGAAATTTAGAGATATGTTCACCCAAGCGAGCCACACCGACCGTCAATTCTTGCATTATATAATGATAATTTATGTAATGATGATAGAGATTATATTTATTTATGGTTTTCGTTATTATTCTTAAAGTTGATAGTGATGCATAATGTTGATTCAAGATCTAGATTGAGTTCATCATTTGAATTCGAACTTTTAAATTCAGAGGTCGAATTGAACATTCAGGACGTGTACAAGATTTTACTTGATTCTTTTATTACTTTAAAAATGTTAATTGAATTTGATTACGATACATGTACATCCCATATAAAACGATTAGATATGAATTAGGTATAATGTGTAAGGCACTAAAAAATGAACTTAGTTGGTGTATATGTTTTAAAGAGGTTTTGCTTTAGTTATTATTATTGGAATACAATTTATGAACAAAAATATAACTCAAGTTACTATGAGTATATTGTATCAATATTTTGTAAAACTGGACATTATTTAAAGTTATCATTATAGTAAGTAAATTATAAAAGTCACTTTTGTCCACTACCTTTATGTTGATGTTTATATTTGTCACATATTTTGTTCTTAATACCTCGAATCTAATTTTAAAATGAGAAATTGCCCTAAATAGGAGAAAATGACTTTTGAAATTCCAAAAATAGAAGTACTATGTTTTCTTTTACAAAATAGGAGTTGTTACTGTCATGATTGAAAAATACTACCACTAATTATAAAGAATACTACCATGTTAAATGTATAGTAATGCCACTATTGGCAGTCATGACTAAAGATGACAGTAAATACTGTCAGTTTACTTCTATTTCGGGGGAAAAATATAACAATCCTATCTTGGAATTCAAAACTCTATTTAGTCCTATTTTGAGAAATCTCTTTTCATCCGCCGTTGCGCACTAGTGCGCTTATGTTTTTCAGCAGGCTTCTTCAAATACCCAATCATGTTGGGTTATAACTAGTTGTAGCTAGCTAGCATTTTCCCTGACTATTAAAGGGGCTGCTAGTTGTAGCGCGCAGTGTACTAGTGAATAGGAAAAGTGAATTTAGATTACTAATGACGGGTGGAGGTTAATGTTCATTCACCCCATAGTTCTAAACTGAAAACTATTCCAGGCTTGCTTCTTTAGCCATTTGTAGTAACTCTTATTCATGTCACTCGCTTCTCCCTTTGTTCTCCATTTTCCTCTATTATTTCTTTGTTTCATTCCTTGCAACGATACTCAATTTTCCATCACAAAGAGAATAAAGTTGATATGTGTCATGTGTTTCATTTTAGTCTTTTCATTGATACATTCTAAGTTTGCTGTAGTAACATGGGTCGTCTAGTTGGTGAAAGAAACAATTAAGTGTTTCTTAACTATCAAAGATAAACCTAACAAGTCAAAGTGGCATTTCTACAAAAAAAATATTAATTTACTATGGTTCGATGACTCACGTATACACATTTTCTCATGTTAAATGATGGACATTTAAATGATTGAAATAGATAAAAGGAATTCAACAACTTATGTTACAATTCACTTCATATTGACTTGGCACATCAACAAATGTTCGTGTTTAGAGTTTAGAGCAGTCTTGAATTGGCATGATATATATGTCCCCCATCTTCTCATCATAGAGGCCATATGCACATGTTTTCATCACAACAAGGAGGAAGACAAACATAGGATAAACACCCATTACCTACTATATATGATCACACAAACATATATATAAGAGAAACCTTCTATTTGAGGTTCAACATTTTGTAGTTGATAGCTATGAGCATACACATAGCAAACATAAGAAAGTGTTGTCATATCAATGGTCATTTTTACCTTCCATTTTTAACATAAGTGTATTGTGCAGTAGCTCCAAATGGCAACTTTGTTGAAGTCATGGTCTTAGCACAACACTTACAAGATAGCTTGACAACATTTAGGGGACTAGATTTCATTGCTTACCTAAATTAATGAACTATTGCACTAATGAAAGTTTGCTCTCACTTGGTAAATCATAGTGTTTATTTTTTGGTAAATCAAACTCCATCTGCCTCCAGACTTTGTCTCATTTTACCTTTTTTTATCTGTCTCATTAAGTTCGTCTCATACCATATTTGGTAACATTTGAGTAGTTACAATTTATTATTACTTTATTCACACTTTATTAATTCAGTACCAACCACACATTTCCATATTTCTTAAAAATTACATCATACCCTCTTGTCCCAATCTTGGGGGGGCGAAGGTAGTAAATGATATCATATTGTGTGATGGACAAGTGTAAAATATTATGTCAACTCCTTTTTACTTTTCAAATAAAAGGCTCACACCATTTTCTCTATTTGTTTAACATTTAGTTTGGCTTGAATCTCTCAAACGGGATGTGTTTGGGGTTGTGATTGTGACAACTGCAACAGACAATGTGAATTTAATGGAAATATTACACACAATCACCAGACATACTCAATAATCACACATTGAGATGTTCATCCAAATAAGTAACAAAAGTAACTTGAGCCTGTAATTGTCACTTAAATTTGAAGTCATCCTTAACCATAAAGACCCTCATACTTATAAACAATTAAAATCAACCAACACTAGCATCAAAATGAACAAAAAAGAACACAAATTTTTAAGCAAAGTTAGCAAATAAAGTGATAACTAAACAAAGAAAAAAGAAGAAATGTTAATGCAAGTCATCTTCATATAATTTGTTCATGAAATTAACTCGTTATAAAGGATAAGTGGTGATCTGATCTGATCAAGCATTACCTCTTCACCAAATTATCTTGACTGAGAACACAATAATTGATCCATCCCAACACAAAGCGGTATTAATTCAAGCGGGGTGAGCTGTCATTACCAATCTAGGGGAGATGAAAAATCTAGTGACAAACCCGAAGAAATGTCATTCCACATGATTTGCATCAAAAAATAATAAAGCGGAGCATGTTTGTTCACGACAACTATCATTTGTTAGATCACACTTAGTTTTAGAAAATAATTTAATGTCTTAATAAATGACCATATGTTGTGTTTGCCCAAACCCAAAAATCGAATATAAACTTTATAATTTGGGATGTTTTTACTTGGAATATTTTCAGTCGTAGATCAGACTAGATTTAAACAGATCAGGCCAGCTCAAATTTAAGCAGACTAGACTAGATCTGACTTCCATAGTTATAAAATACATAGAGGTCAAACATTTACTAGATCAAACTAGTTCAGACCAGACCGACAAATTTTAATCCAAGTAAAAACATCATTAATCTGATCATGGAGTGTGTAATGTCTATGTCAATACTGGGAGGCTAATATGAAGTTAACTTATTTTTTGTGTGGGCCAAATTAAATTTTATACATATGTAATTTTTTTAGTGTGCCGTGGGCCCCCTCAACGTCCATATAAATCCGCCTATGTCTATGAAAATAAACCCAATTTTTCGGTTTAGACTTTTTGTTAGGGATATTTTAT